GTAACGAAAATTGGTTATCCAGCCAAGAGTTTTCTCCATGGCTAAAACCAGGGAACATACTTGAGGCACAGATTATTTTGTGCAAGAAGTCATTCAAGCTCAGAACGATGGGAATTAAGGCAGTGGAGTCACACATGCGAAGCACGAAACACAAAGCGTCAAAATCCAGTTACCGAGAAACAGCCGCTATTTCTCAGTTTTGTTCCACCCTTGTCTCTGCAACGCCTCCACTTATCACCAAATCAAACATACTAAGAAAACGATACAAAGAAAAATAGCTGCAAAAAAGACTTAGCACTGGTTATGTTGTGGCTTTAAAACTGATTTGTTTTGTTCCCTGCTAAAACAAAGTTTGTGAATTCAGTTAAATAATTGTTAAAATATATCTGTCATTTGTGTGTTTTTAGCTTTCTTCCTTTATGGGAAGCTTTTCAAAATTTGAACCATTAGTGCAGTGGTTAATGTGAAAATAAACCTTTGGGTTAAGTTGTCGCAAGTAAATAAATCATGAAACTTATAGAAAATATCTCTGAAAATAAGGCTGAAATAAGCTTATGGTCGCCTGCTTGAATTCTATGAAGAATAACTGCAGTTGATTACTGCAAAAACGGAGCTCATCCAGTGTACGCTAACAAACAAACAAGCCATCTCTGCCAGGGGGCAGATTAGTTGCTGACTCCTCTGTTTGATTTAACTCCAAAGAAACGTCACAGTTATATTAAATGACCTTAAACCTTAGGGGTGTAAATAATAATCCTTTTGTATCGATGCATCAATCCAACAGCCGACAATCCGATGCATCGACACGTCCGCAAGAGAATCGATTCATGTTTTTTTTTTCCTCCAGTCTATTTTGATCCATTTGCTCCCGGGTGTAATTCTCCTCCCATGCTGCGGTGGCGCTAAACCTATTTTGCCCTCCTACCTCGCTTCCTGGTTATACTCTTACAGCAGTGTGTTGCATTGAGCTTGACACAGACATTTTTGATTTATGCTCACCTCGCTCTTCTAGTTGGAATTTCGGTCATAAAAACAAAGCAAGCTGGCCTCCTGTCTGCGGCACTGTCTGCGGTCAGCTACAATTTGGGAGAAGTGCAGCGGAGCGTCTGTGCAGGGGGCGGGACGTCTGGAGCCGAGGTATTCTGCTATATATTCCGGTATATCCAAGTAACGTCTTCCTATGGGCGATCGACTTGAAGGCACAAACTGACCGAGGTGGAAAGACTAGTACTAAAAAATTGTAACCGAGTAAAAGTATCTTTACTTTGCCTAAATTCTACTCAGAGTAAAAGTAAAATTATACATCTCAACATTTACTCAAGTAAAAGTACAAAATTACTTCATTTAAAATGTAATTTGAGTAAAAGTTACTTAGTTAATTTGAGTTATTTAATGCAAAAAAGGATGAGTCAAGAATCAAATTGACCACAAGGTGTTCTAATCGATTTCAAGGCATATTGCTATGGAGGATAAAAAGTGCCAAAATTAAATAAATAAATACAGCATTAAATAAATAATTATATGTGTCAATAATTAATTAAATGTGGAATTAAATAAATAAATGTGTCATTCATTAATTAAAACCACTGTGACACCATTCCTGCAGGGTGGCATCATTAAATAAATAAGGAAAGGAAGGAGTAAAATGCCACTGCCATTAACTCCTTAAAGCCTAATTTATCCTTGATGTGCGTACCAGGGTCATGTGACCAAATTATTTAATTCTAGAACCCCCCTTCCCCTCCCAACTATGGATAAAAAGTGCCAAAATTAAATAAATAATTAAATGTGTCAATAATTAATTAAATGTGGAATTAAATAAATAAATGTGTCATTCATTAATTAAAACCACATCATAATATAAAGTGCCACAATTAAATAAATAAATACAGCGATAAACAATTAATTAAATGTGTAATTCATTAAATAAATAAGGAATAAAATATATAAATATGTCATTAATTTAATAAAATACGTCTTCATTTTATTAAAAAATATATATAATTATTTCAGTGTGCATTTAATTATTTCATGGTCCTGTGTCGCAGTGCATCGAAACCATTAAAAGAATCTGTCAAACTCACCCATCAAAGTTAGGGGGCGGGGTTAACGCGAATCGAGTCTCTGTAATCGATTTGCTTCGCCTTAATGTGCAGGGTGACCAATCAGGTGTTAGATAACCGCCCCCTAACTTTTTATCCTCCACATATTTCAGTGGACATCCACACTTGCAAAAGATCAGCTGGGCTAAAGAACATACTTCCTCACAGCACAAGGACAGTCACAACCTGAACCATAAAGTGCAAACAATTTTCAGTCCTACTGTCCGACAGACAACACCATGATAGGAATAAAGAAATTTAAACTACATTTTAAAGTTTTCAAAATGCACACAAAATAAAATGCCCAAAACATACCAGAAATCAAACTAAAACGCAACAGGATCCCACTGTTATTAACAAGCTCCTCATTTAATGATTTTAACTGACACTTGTTTTTACATCAATTGTTTATATGTTTGAATTGTGTAAATAAAGTGCTGTTAAAAGTTAAAAGTCTTCTTCTATCTATTTTAATGGCGATTAAGTGTCGGTTCCATGACACAGGGGTTTAAATTTCCGGCCGCATTTAATTTTTTCACCATCAGTATGTTATTTATTTTTTTTACTCCGTAACGTGAGGGGGTTTTAAATGTAGCGAATAAAACTACTTAGGTTAAAATTTACTCGAGTAAAAGTAAAAATTACATATTTCAAAAACTACTTAGAAAATTACAAATTACTCATAAAAAGTACTCAATTACAGTAACGTGAGTAAATGTGAGTAAAAACTTTCCACCCCTGCAAACTGAACTGTTCATAAGTTATTCTTTATGGTACGCCAGCATTCATAACATGTAGGTGAATCACTGTCCCCCAGACATCCGCGGTTATATTTTTTATATTGGGTCACTAAAGGTTACCAGAAGAAACTAGGTTTCCTTCGTGTTTTTTAACCTAGTGAGACGAAAAAAGTTCCTGGAGTTCTTTTAACAACTCGTTAGTAAGGGAGTGGTGTGGTTAGAGCAGAGAGCTTGTGTTCTGAAGGTAGCCGCTCTCCAAGTCCCTTAGTAAGACCCATTAGCCCATCATTGCTCACCATTAGCCTCGTGAGACCATCCTGATCTCGCAAGCTTTCAAGATTTCACTCACTAATCAGTCTGGCTACTCTCCGTTGAAGAAAATTTGGAGCCGTTCACCAAACGAACGTCCAATCAGCGTTGGCTTTGAGGCGGGTTGAGGTGTACCGCAAAGGGAAGCGCGACAGTTCAGTCTAAAGAACATGGCGGCTTCAGCCGATGAAACTAGCGTTAGCGTGGCTATCGAGCAAGTTTTATCGGAATTACAGAGCATTTCTTCACTGAAAGAAGAGCAAAACACTGCTCTGGAGGCTTTTCTAAGAGGAAAAGATGTTTTTGCTCTTCTCCCGACTGGTTTCGACAAGAGTAGCCTGGCTGTTAGTACGTCATATGCTTCTTTGATCTGATTGGTTTATTTGGCCCGTCTATCACCAACATAGGCCAATCAGCTAACCAGTATTTTCGTCCCTTCCCAAAATTACTCCTACGGAAGGTTTCCAGAGAGATATGCGGAGCAAATCCATCTGGCGGAGTCTGGTTAGGGCTCCATGCTGCCCACTGCTCTTTATGGAATGGGTTAATCTGTAATGTACATTTGCAGTGACTGATAAAGTTGATTATTATCCTCATATTTTTTTGTTTCTCTGCAGCCTTTTCGTATGGAAATGCCAGTGAGGTTTCTGGAACCGTCCTCTCCGTCTGCATCCTTGTTTCTGCCCTGCTAGGAACAGAAGTCTGACTTCCAGCTGCAGATCTGGGATCAGCTATGCTGTGGATCCACATTTCCACACACTTCCTCAGATCGAAGGATTGAAAAGTCATGCCAGCCAGGAGTTGTCTTGTACATTCAGATGAAAGCAAAGAAAGTGGCAGTGTTTCAGGTTTCTATCTGTAGTTTGTAGATGTTTGGAGAAACGTCTGATCTCCACCACCATGTAGCTGAGTGATGTGATGTGTTTTTGTGTCAGTTTGTGCCTTTTTTTAATCTCTGACCAAACATTTGATACAGCTTATTTTACTTGTGGTGCTATAATCTTTAGGGCTTTTAAATATGTTGATGCTGTTGGTGTGTTTCTGTCTGTGATGATGATGATGACAATGATGCAGTTTACTGACCTGAAGGTTAAAAAAAAGAAGAGTAAAAGTAACACAGGAGATAAACTGTAGAAAAACATTTTTAAGATTTCTACCTCTGAACACAATATAAAAAACCATAGTCTGGGTAGAAAATAGATGTTTGTTCCAATAAAACTCCTCTGTTTGTGTGGGTGACGTTTTCAGCCACAGGGTGGTGCTGTTCCCTCTAAAACTAAATGCTGCCTGAAGATTTAAAGGGAAAAAAAGAGAAACACTTGAAGTTGTTCATGTGAAAATGAGACTGATTTATAACAGCAGGGTGAATCTGTCTGTTTTTAACTGTGAAGAATAAAATGTCTGATCCAAACCACCTCATGTAGCACCGCTTCAGTCCGGCTCTGTGAGCGGCTCAGATCCAATACCTCTTTAAAAGATGTTCTGAAAGTTAACCTGGAGGATCAGCTCTTTGTTCCTTAATGAGTTGTTAAAACTGTAACCTGGAAACAGTTTAAAGAACAAAGATGTGTTTATGGTCAATTTAAAATCAGCCTGCTGTTCATCTGTTCACCTTCATGCTTCCTGATTATCCCAGAAGAACTGAAGAAACCAGAAAGGACTAATATGGGAACCTTTTAATTTAGGATAGATAGATGCAAATCAATAAACCTGTTAGATGAGCCTTTCTTTGTGTGTCTGTTACAAATGAAGTATTGGAGGAAATCATTTCATGACGTCTGAAAGCCTTTGGCTACAAGTTTCAATGACAGGTTCTAGAGCCAGAATCGTATTTCTTATCCCTGATCAGATGAATATACATACATCTCAGGCGGAGATCCAGGTTCCACAGGTAGACCTGAGGTATAAGTTCAGACAGCTGATGGTGTGGGTAAAGGAACCATGCTGCCTGCCAGCCTCTGACTTCTGAACCAGGGGGCGGAGTTACAGGTCAACCTGAAAGACAACAGATCAGCTGAGACAACAGGTGAGTCAATCACACTGGATTTTTTTTCTTTATTTATCTCAGCTGGTGTCGTATTTACTGACAAAAACTGAAATCGGGTCTGAAAATGTCCAGAGGGAAGAGACAAAGAAAGTGTTTTTGTTTTTTTTGTCTTATCTGACTCAGTTACACTGCAAAAAATCTAAATCTAGATAAGTAATTTTTACTTAAAATAAGTGCATTTGTTCTTGGATTGAAGAGGTAAAAGAGACATTTTGCCAGTGGAACAAGACAATTTACACTTAAAATAAGAAAACCCAATTGCATTGTCTTATTTCAAGAGCATTTTATCTAATTATCTTATTTTAAGAGTAAAATTACTCATTCCATTGGCAAACTATCTAATTTACCTACTTAAATTAAGGGTGAATACACTTAATTTAAAGGAATAGTACACCCAAAACATGATTAGCCTTCATTTTCTACTCCCCCCCATGCTGAACAACACTCTGGAGTACTTTTTTGATATCTCAAATGCATCTGGAGATCTGGGAGGCTTCTTGCTGTCTGCTGACATTCAAATAATGGAGGTCTATGGCGCCCGAGGCAGAAAGGTCCATAAAAGTCCACAAAAAATGTGTCAATATTCCTCCATACTGCTCGTCCAATGTATTCCAAGTGTCCTGAGTGGGTAGCATCCAGAATTTACTCGAAACGAAGTCATTTAGAATGTTTTTAGAGCATAAACAGTAGTGTATAGGATTTCCTAAAAGCGCGCGCCTGCGAGTTCATGAGTCTACGGAAACCGCGGCAGACCAAACCAGATGAAAGTGCGCATTCAGCTCGGCAAAGAACTCATGCTCTTCCTCAACTCTGAAGTCCTCAGACATCATCTTTCGTTGTTTCTTTCTTTGCACAGGTAAACAGCACATTTCTTCTTCTACGCTTGCATTATCGGCAGAGCAGACGCTGAATGCGCACTGGACAGGTCTCCATTCCATCGCAGGGCAGCACAGAGACAAACAGGACAAACAACCATTCACACCTAAGGAGAATTTAGAGAAACCAATTGACTTAACAGTCATGTTTTTGGACCATGGGTGGAAGCCGGAGTATCCAGAGAGAACCCACACATGCTTAGAGAGAACATGCAAACTGCAAGGCAGCTGAGCTGTGCTACTTAGCAGGCCAGATTTCTGTAAAACCGAATGCAAAATGGATTAGTAAAAATGGTTTGAGATATAAAGTCTGGCACAAATATTGGAGTATTAAATTGGTCTTCAATTGGTCAATATCAATTTTAACTTTAATTTTTAGACTTTTTAAGGAACTAATCGGTGAAATATCAAGTCATTGATATGTTACTTTTGTTTAGAAGAAGATTATGACCATTAAAAAAACAAAAACGAAAAAACAGCCACTCAATAAAACAAAAAATTATTATTTCTGACTTTAATCTCAGCATTCTGACTAATTCCCACTTTAATTTTCTAATTCTGACCGTAATCTAAGAAATCGGACACTAAACTTATAATTCTGACTTTATTCTCAGAATTATTCTCATAGATAATAACAGAGAGATACTTATATGGAGATATATTGATATATGTATACATACATGTATATATGTATAAGGTAAGAGATATGTGTATGTATATATTTGTGTATAACTGTATTAATGTGTTTTTTTTTATATAATAATAAAAATGATAAAAATGTGTGAGCGGCTGTGCTTTGCAACATGCATACATCCTATCGGAATATTCAATTATTCCTAACCCCACTAATAATATTTAAATGCAATGAACCATTTGTTTGTTTTCAGCAAAAACAAACCAAAACGTGTCAATTAATTAAATATTCAGCGAGTAAAGTTTATTAAAATTGATTACCCATTAAAGTGAGCGGAGCTGTCGACCGCCCCAAGATGGCGCCACTAAAACCATAGATATCCATGACTAAAACCACGTGGGCGCTCTTAAGCAACAGCTGTCGATGCATAGATTATATGGGGTGTATGTTCATGCTCCTCCACACCAGCAGGGGGTGCTAATCTTGATATTGATATCAGGCGTTAGCTAACTGTCATGGCGGCTCCCTGTAGCAGCCGAATTTCACGGTGAGACTGTTCCCCACTTCTCTGACGCAGGATGAGGTGAAGAGCTGACTTGTCTCAGGTGAGACTCGGAGCGCGAGCAGGCTACGGAAATTTTGCGGCGGTGTGGTGATTTCCTGACAGCATTTTGAGTAGCAAAAGAACAGAACTCCGTTCAGAAAAAGTCAAATTTTAGGTTCGGGGGGTAATTTCAAATGAATCAATCACACCAGTGGGCGTCGATTAAACAAGAGCTCCTCAAATATCTATCCGGTATCTTAGTTTGTGTCTTATGAGCAGTTTTGGCTTGAATGCTGGATTATCAGTCACAATATATATTACCTGATAGTGCTGATTAAACTAAACATAATTGGTGTCATTTAGGCTGAATCTTTTAGCAGTTCTTCTTTGTTTTATCGCCAGGAGCTGCTATTTGGGAACTTTTTCACCAGTTTCCCTGTGATCAGCTGGTCTCAATCATGAGTGTTTCTGTTATTTCAGAGCTGAATTTTACTCTGAACTGTTTGTTTCCTCCAGTTGTTCCCACTACAGCCATGAATGTGATGTCATCAGTGATGCGGGGAGCAAGGCTGCTGTCCCACACAGACATGCATCTGCTCCTCTGTCCTTCCCGGAGCTCCGCCCCCCTTCTCACCTGGACACAGAGCAGAAGGTTTGCCTCCAAACAGGTAAGTCTGAGGATCTGAAACAAACAGGAGCGTTTTCCTGCTGGCTGTTTATTTGTTAGTGGTTTTGATTGAAGGTTCTAACCTCAGCGATTTGAGTGTTGTTCTGGGCTGAAATAAAGACATGGACTCTTAAATAATTTTCTCCAGGTGAAAGGTCAGAGGAAGGACCCCAAGAAGCAGAACCCAAAGCCCAAAGTGGACAAACAGGAAGTGGAGATCAGACAGGGAATGACGGCGGCAGCGCTAGCAGCAGCCATGAACAAAGACTTTGGTGAGAACCTGTAGATAAGTGCTTTCAGATGACAGGTGTTGTGAATTGGCTCTATATAAATAAACTGAATCTAATTGAACAAACTGCAAGATTGTTTCCAAGTGGGTTTGTGCCGACTGGTGGTTCTGTTCTCCTCCAGATCACGTTTTAGAGGCTCTGCTCAACACCTCTATGGACCTGGACTCCCTGAAGCCAGACTCTGTTCTGGAGGAGAAGTGGATTAAAGAGGTGGTGACCAGGTCTGGGATGAAGTTTAGATGGGCCAAACTCAGCGAGAGCAGAGAGCGACCCAATAGAGACGCCCTAAGGAGGTACCAGCAGATCTGGCCGCAGCAGACATACCGGTTCTGAAGAGATTTTCCCACAAGTCACAGTATGGGTGTAATCTAGAGATGCACTGTTCGATATGGTTCTTGTTCCTTCATTTACTTGATAGGATGAGAAAATAATAGCAAATGCCACACAGGTCGCTATTCAAAAAAAAAAAATAAATAAAAAATCCGGTGTTTTTTTTTTTTTTTTTACATTTCTAGAATTAAACAAGAAAGGATGCAAAAAAAGGTTCTCCTTCACGTGATCTCAAGGCATGGCTGCTGAATGCTGCACCCAAACTTTTCTTACTGACCCCTCCCCTTTTTGTTTACGGGAGTTTTTGCACCCCCCCAAGTCTCTACCACCACTCCAACCTTTAAGCAGTTAAACAAAGAAACGTCCACATGTGGTTCTGAAACTGTTCGTGGCTCTTTGGACCCTGTAGAATGACTCTTAATGAGGGCTAAGATAGTAAAGAACCAACTTACGATTTTAAGTATATTATAATCTACCTAAAGTATTATTCGTCTGCTCTATATATGGTTGGTTTAAGTGTATTTTTATTTCAAACAGGAAGAATGTAGAACGTTTAACTGACCTTTTAAACAAAAGGGAAGATGCAGTGGTCAGGTTGTAGCAAGATTGTTAATCTCCAGCTATAATCCCTGGACAGGTTGGTTCATCTGTAAAACATTTTGTTCTGTGTTCCTCGTCTTCTTCATCTTTGCTATTCCGAGCTTCTAGTCAAAATACGCATTTTTGGGAGCGAACAGCTTTACAACTCCTGATATAGGGCTTAGATTTTCAACAAAGTCTTGTAAAATGTTCCAAAACTTCGTCTGGTTTTGTTTTTATCTCTGGTTCAGGGATCTTCCCGTCAAGACTTTAATTTATTCTGACTGATCCAAGTCCAGCTCTCCTCCCTTTAGACACCAGATGAACCAGGAAACCTTGCAGAACTAGCGACTTCAGACTAGATAACAGATGCAGTTATTATTTTTTTTTCTTTTAAGGCCGATGCTATTTAATTTGACGTCAGTCTAACTGAACCCATATCTGCTGTGACCCTCTAGACCTCCGGCCGACCCGGCGCAGCTGGTGAGCCGCCCCCCGGTGGTCACCATCATGGGTCACGTGGACCACGGGAAGACCACGCTCCTGGACAGCCTGAGAAAGAGCCAGATCGTCTCCACGGAGGCGGGAGGAATCACGCAGCACATCGGAGCCTTCCTCGGTAAATTCCTGGACGACCGGTTACCCAGAACGATTGCAGTCACAGGTCTGACCGGCTGTTTTTTTTCCTCCCAGTCCAGCTGCCTACGGGGGAGAAGATCACATTCCTGGACACGCCGGGCCATGCCGCCTTCTCCTCCATGAGAGCCCGCGGAGCCAACGCCACCGACATAATCATCCTGGTGGTGGCGGCAGACGACGGTGTCATGAACCAGACGGTCGAGTCCATCCAGCATGCCAGGAAAGCCAAAGGTAGGAGCTGAGCGTGTGCGGCGGTGAAGTGAAAGGAGAACGGATTCTGATGTTCCTTCCTGCGCTCCGTCCATTAGTGCCTATCATCGTGGCGGTTAACAAGTGTGATAAACCTCAGGCCGACCCTCAGCGGGTCAAACAGGAGCTGCTGGCTCATGATGTCATCTGCGAGGAGTTTGGAGGAGACGTCCAGGCCATCCACATCTCTGCTGTGAAGGTGAACTGACACAAACAGGACCTCGGCTCAGCCGGGATCTGGTTCCTGACCACAGTAACCTCTGATGATGTTACCGTTACTAGGGCGACAACCTGCTAGCCCTGGCCGAGGCCACGGTGGCGTTGGCGGAGGTTCTGGAGCTGAAGGCTGACCCGAGCGGTCCGGTGGAGGCAGTCGTCATCGAGAGTCGAACGGACAAAGGCAAAGGGTGAGTCCTCCAGATCCGGCACTAACCGCTCTGCTGGACCCGCTTTAACCCGCTGTCTCCTCAGACCGCTAACGACTGCCATCGTCCAGAGGGGCACGCTGAGGCGAGGTTGCGTCCTGGTCGCCGGGAAGTGTTGGGCCAAAGTGCGCTTCCTGTTTGATGAGAACGGGCAGGCTCTGGCGGAGGCTGCACCGAGTACGGCGGTGCAGGTGGTCGGCTGGAAGGAGCTGCCATCCGCCGGGGAGACCATCCTGGAGGTGGAGTCTGAGGTGAGGCCCAGAAACAGAGCAGGACTTCCTGTCCTCCAGATGTAGAGAGTCATGGTTGCTTCCTATCTGAGACCGCTGCAATAAAAGCCTGTAGTTTCTCTGCTTCTGCAGCAGCGAGCCAGAGAGGTGGTGGAGTGGAGGAGTCACGAGGAGGAGCAGCAGAAGCTCCTTGAGGAGCAGAGCGCCATTGAGCTGAAGCAGAAGCTCCACCTGGAGGAATACCGACGGGAGCGGGAGGGGCTTGCCCACCTGAGCTGGCGGCAGAGGAAGGCCGCTCTGTACCGGGCCAACAAGACCCGCTTCTCTATGAGGCCCAGCGAGAGGACGGAGAGCGACGAGCTCAGCTTGCCGCTCATCATCAAAGGTAGGGAGGCGTCTTGTCTCTGGCAGGCTCCACCCACTGTGACATCACTCAGCGAGTCCCTCTGATCTGCAGGTGATGTGGATGGGTCGGTCGAGGCGCTGCTCAACATCCTGGACGGCTATGACGCCCAGGAGCAGTGCCAGCTGGAGGTGGTCCACTTCGGCATCGGAGATATCTCTGAGAACGACGTCAACATGGCGGAGATGTTTGGAGGTATGGACAGCAGGGGGCGCTCCCGTCGGGTTCTGATGGAGACGGATTCTCTTGGATTTCATGTTAAAAGCTTGATGTGTGAAGCTGGAATGCAGGATGAAGAAGCTGGTTCTGAGTTCCAGACCTGTTGGTTATCTGATGTTGCCATGGTAACCGGTCCAAAAATGATCCAGCACCTCGAGTTTAGTGAATGAGGCAACATGTTTTCAGGAGTGGAGGCTGTGGGGTTCTGCTCACAGCAGACCTTTTTTCCTGCTGGGTCAGAACCGGTTGAAGGTTTCCTCCTCTCCCTCAGGTTCTATCTACGGGTTCAACGTGGCGGCGAGCCGCTCCATCCAGCAGCTGGCGGCGAAGAAGGGCGTCCCACTGCAGCTGCACTCCGTCATCTACAAACTGATTGATCAGCTGAAGGACGAGCTGAGCAGCAAGCTGCCGGCCTGCGTTACCCAGAACAGCGTGGGTGAGTTTGGACGGGACTTAGACGGGCCCACAGGTTTGGTTTATCAGAACCATCCTCAGGATCTTCGTTCTGTTGACTGATTTTTTTTTTTTTTTTTTTTTTTCCCAGGTTTAATAATTTTGATTCAACCATTCTGATCAGACGAACTTCTTTCTTTGTCAGGATTCAGTTGAAACTTACAGAAGAGGATTAGGGCCACTGAAAAAAAAAAAAGTTTACTGATTTTAAAATTTTATTTCAATTTAGTATTGGAAAAAAGTCAGAATTCTGACTTTTTTCTCAGAATTCTGACTTTTTCCCCATACTAAACTGAAATAAAATTTAAAAATCAGTTAACTTTTTTTTTTTTTCCCACTGGCCCTGATCCTCTTCCGTAGAAACTTGATCGTGACAGAAGGGATTTTATTTTGCCACAAGAACCTTGATTTTTGTCAGGAGAACTTTGATAACATCAGGACACTCTTTATTTTTTATGCAAAATCTTTGATTTTTAGAAAGAACCTTCGCTCTGTGAGAGATCATGTTGCTTGTCAAGAAAACATTACTTTTGTCAGAAGAACGTAAATTTATTTAGACTTCAATTAAATTTATTTATATTTTATTAATCCACAAAAGAAATTCAGTTTCAGTACAGCCCGTCCCGGGGACGCGGTGTCAGTGGCCGTTTCTTAGTGACAAGAACCAGTTTTTCCTCATCGCAAAAACCTTGATTTTGTCAGAAGAACCTTTTATTTTTTTTAAGAACCCTTTTAGGCATAGGCGGATCTACTGGGGTGGCATAGGGTGGCAATTGCCACCCTAAATGACAGCCTTGCCACCCCTGCTGCCACCCCAGTTGGCTGTAGGGGTGGCGAGGCTTATAAATTATTATTATTATGGATAATTTGAGAATTGCGACCTCTAATTTCCAATGTCGGACTGCAGTGAATGCAGCACGAGATGACGCGAGAGCGACTAAGACTGATTAGTTTTGAAAACCGAGCGGGGCAAAGCGAGGGATCCAGGGGTGATGAGGAGAGGAGACACGGGATGAAACAGGTAAAAACTGATTAACTATCTATGGAGAAATTAAATCATAATGAAAGCACAATGATGCTAGCATAACTGCAATGCTGATATTGAGATGATAAAAATCAGGTTGCAGAACGTTATTTCTCTATCTTTGATGTTAGTTAGGCCTGACGTTTCAGGCTCATAAAGACATATTTGCGGTCAACTATGACAGAAAAGAGACGATCAAGTTTGGTTAAACTCAAATCAAAACGCACAAAGGCATTTGATCTAAATAAATTTGTGAAGCGTTTTGCTGAGCAACATGGAAATCGCTGCATTCAGCTGTTATAGTCATGTTAACTTTATGTTATGGTCTCTGGTGAGCCTTTACAGAGCTGTTACATTTTGTTTTGGCACCTGAGAAAATCTGATATTTCCTTTAATAAAACCAAAAGTGTTAAAAGTAAATTTAAAAATGTGATACAGGTGTAAATCCTGCTTAATACGAAGCAGTGTTTCTTTTTTTTTTTTATATATAGTATGAAACTATCCAGAAATGACCTGTATGAACCTACTCACAAAATGTTTTGTACTTTTACAGATTGGAAGCAAAATTTATTTTTATGTTGCTTCTTTTCAGATTTGTGGAGTTTTGGAGGTAACATACAGTACCTGCCTTTTTGTTGATTTATTGATACAAGAGCTCTATCTACAGCATATCTACATGCATGAAATGTCCCTTTCATGTTGCCTTAACTGCTGTATGTCAAGTTACTGAGGAACAAATGGGGTAAATGTGTGTTCAGAGTAAACATTACATAGATGTCTGGTACCTTGTTTGGTGACTTGACCCATTTATTTCTACTGTGTATTTATGCTCACTTTATTCCAGCTCAGTCCATAGATCTCTGATGGGTAACTTTTTCTTTCTATAGTTTCTTCTTGTGCAAATGCTGCAAAGCTGCCTCTCTGACAGTCAATCTCACACATCTGCGACTCAGCACCTGTGTCTTACCTTAATACCTTTCCTGTCATAAGGCCCCTCTAGAAGTAGTGTTATCATTCTTCTATCTCCTATTAGGTGAGATCACATTGTACGATGTATTTCTAATATGAACTGCTTCACATGAAACACTTACTGTACATAATATTCTCACCAAACTGTGATAACTGTGATTAAATTCAGTGTAAACAAATACCATATGTTGCCACCCCTCAAAAATTCCTGCCCCCCTCTCGCCACCCCATAAATATTTTTCTAGATCCGCCCCTGCTTTTAGGAGACCATTTTTCTTTGTCAGGAGTGAAGAGAAAATTTACCTTGTTAGCAGAACCTTCATCTTGTCAAGAGAACCCTGATTTTATAAGGAGAATTTTACTTCATTTATGAAGAAATTTTTACACCTAAACAGTTCACTTTTTCAAAAAAACTTTTTAGGTCAAATTTTTTTGGAGAATCGTTCCCTTTTCAGCAGAACATTTTTCTACCTCTGGACTCGGTAGAACTTTTCTTTTCGAAGGAACCGTTATTGTTTTCAATTGTGAAGAAAACTTCGACCTTGTTAGCAGAGTCTTCTCTTTACTGAAAAAGTCAATTCACAGGGTTTTGTCAAATGTTATGACATCCTTGCAAGGTGAAGCTGTCTTCAAAGTAGACAGATGAAGAGGTTCTGTCGGGCCGCTCATTAAAGCTGTGACCTGCAGCTCTCATCCAAACATCAGAACCGTTTCAGCTCAGGGCCCGGTTGCTTCTGAGGCTCAAGATTTGGTAAAGATATAGATGATTTGATGCAAATCAGCTCCTATCCCTTGTCTCGGTCCTCTGCTGCAGGTGAGGCGACGGTCCTCGCCATCTTTGATGTCTCTGTGGGGAAGAAGAAGGTTCCGGTAGCTGGCTGCCGGGTCCAGAAGGGCCAACTGGACCGACGCCTGAAATTCAGGCTGATCCGAGGAAAGGATACAGTGTGGGAGGGTGAGTGAGACAGAAACTGCTGTTCTTAGTCTGACTGGGTGAATGTCATTGCCCTCAGTCTGTGGCTGTGACCAAACGTCCGCCCAGATCATTATATAGAGCACTGTATAGTGGTTACACCATTTTGAGTTAGTGTCTGAACGTCTAGTAGATGTAAAAGGTGGTGGACCTGAGATTTCCCACAATGCACCTTGAAAAGCAGTGATCATCCACAGTCAATAGATGAGCAGATGGATCCCGGAATGCTTTATATCTTTCCTCGCAAAGCACCATGGGATTTGTTGTGACAGTGGCCCATAAATGGGTTAAAACTCTCCCCACAGCATGGCACCAAATTTAAGATAAAATGATTAGTGGTGAGCAGGGGGGCCTTATTCTGGACGCACAGGAACCTTTGCCTTCATACTCTCCAATCAGATATTAAAAATAAAGACACAAAACCATAGAAGAATATATATATATATATATATATATATATATATATACACACACTGAAAGTGAATGAACTGTTATGAAATTAAATTTAATATGACATTCTGAATTGGGGGCTCTGTGCTGGGAGACATTTGGACACAGGCTGGTTTCCAGGGGGGCAAGGTAAATGAGACCTCTAATGAATATATGGAAGGAGTTTCTAAAATAACAGAAATTAATTTTTTTAATTTAGTTCCTGAACAGATGGTGCTTTCAGCGAGGGAGTGAAAATATTAAGGATTTACCAGGTGAACCTGAAACTTCCAGGTTTATCTCCCCCTACAGGCCACTGGCTGCACTGCACCATAGCTAAATGAACAGCAGTCCTGGAATTCCTGGTAAAGATGAGAAAACTTTCACCTTCTAGATCTAATTCTCCATCAGAACCAGAAATATGTAAATTAAAGGATGCAGACATTGGCTGTGATTTACATTCTAGAGGCTTAGGAAGATTTTATGGTAAAAATGTTCATTTCCAGGTGCTGCAGCATCTTTTTTTTTATCATTCAAAATAAACATCTAGTTTATCTAGAGAGAAATTCTGAGCTCCATACTGAGCAGCTAATGCAACCATAATCTAGATCCATACATCTAACACCTGAGCTGTGCAGATTCTAACTCTTAGGTTCTGATTCTGCTGCAGGTTCTATATCGGCGCTGAAGCACCACAAGGACGACGTTCAGACAGTGAAGACGGGGATGGAGTGCGGCGTATCAACAGACGGTGACGTGGACTTCAAAGCCAGTGATGTCATCGAGTGCTTTGAGGAGCTGGATGTTCCCCAGGTCACTTCCTGGGACCCGGGGTTCTGACCGGATCGGACTCCGACAGTTCTGAGGTCCAGATAAGAACATGAGACTCGAATGAATAGACTCCAGGAATATTCAAAATTGGACTTTAATGAAAACAGTGATGTCACATGTTGATGCATCAATAAATCTGTTCCAATATTGGATCTTTGGAGCCATGCAGCTTCATTCCCGACAGGAAGCTCTGGACCTGGGAACTTCCAGTCCAGAACTCCCGGTCCTTCTCAGCTGAATCTTTTGGTCTCTTTAACATGTGATAAAAATGGCAAATCGTTCCTTTACTTCTTGTTGGCCTTGGTGGGTTTGGCGAGCAGCGCCGGGTCAATCTGATCGGGACTCAGCCCTCTGACGGAGAAGAGACGGGCAGCGCGCTCCGACAGCGTTCCCCCACACTTTAGCCCACGCCGTACAAGTTCCTCCTTCAGGACGTCCAGACCCAGAGACTCCAGCTGCTGGACCGATTCCACTGAAGACAGGTCCAGCTGTTGGGACAGAACACAGGACATACAGAACCTGTCAGAACCTAAAAATTCCGTTAATAGTAATTCCTCTACACTTTTAATTCTAGTTTCTGACCTGTTGTGGTTCCCCGCTGGACTGTACACAACGGTTCTGCTCCTCTGCAATGGTCGGTTCTGATGCAGAACCCGGTTTCTCCTCCTCTGCCGGTTCTGATGCAGGACCCAGTTTTTGCTCCTCTGCCACTGCCGGTTCTGATGCGGGACCCGGTTTTTGCTCCTCTGCCACTGCCGGTTCTGAGGCGGGGCCCGGTTTCTGCTCCTCGGCAGAGGCCGGTTCTGTGGCGGGGCCCGGTTTCTGCTCCTCGGCAGAGGCCGGTTCTGTGGCGGGGCCCGGTTTCTGCTCCTCGGCAGAGGCCGGTTCTGTGGCGGGGCCCGGTTTCTGCTCCTCGGCAGAGGCCGGTTCTGTGGCGGGGCCCGGTTTCTGCTCCTCGGCAGAGGCCGGTTCTGTGGCGGGGCCCGGTTTCTGCTCCTCGGCAGAGGCCGGTTCTGTGGCGGGGCCCGGTTTCTGCTCCTCGGCAGAGGCCGGTTCTGTGGCGGGGCCCGGTTTCTGCTCCTCGGCAGAGGCCGGTTCTGTGGCGGGGCCCGGTTTCTGCTCCTCGGCAGAGGCCGGTTCGGTTGAGGGTCGGTTGTTCTGGTCTACTGATGTTCTGCCTGAGGAGGAGCTGCAGTCAGATGAGCTGGAAGAGACAACGAGGATCTCGTTATTGAACCCAAGCCTGGATGCAGAACAGTTTGATTCTGATGGGTTTATATATTTTTTTTTTTAAGTGATTAAATTTCAGATGCCCCATATTCTCCCATTCTTTAAGCTAATCTGACTGACATGAAATAAAACATTAGTTTATATATTGTTCTATAGGTATGAAAAAAAAAAAAAAAAAAAAGGAGCAATATACAAAATGGATACAATATATCCATTATATTTAACACTGGCATTTTAGGGTTTTAAAGGGCTTTTTATAAATGATAAAGATTCTTACATTTTATGCTGACAAGAAACTTATTTTCAGTTCAAATGTATAAATTTGTTCGCTCTGGATTTTTTTATGTGGTTGATTTAATTTACAGCAGATTAAAGGAATAGTACACCCAGCCTTCATTTTCTACTCACCCCCATGGTGAACAACACTCTGGAGTACTTTTTTGATATCTCAAATGCATCTGGAGATCTGGGAGGCTTCTTGCTGTCTGCTGACATTCAAATAATGGAGGTCTATGGCGCCCGAGGCAGAAAGGTCCATAAAAGTCCACAAAAACGTGTCAATATTCCTCCATACTGCTCGTCCAATGTATTCCAAGTGTCCTGAGTGGGTAGCATCCAGAATTTACTCGAAACGAAGTCATTTAGAATGTTTTTAGAGCATAAATAGTGTATAGTATTTCCTGAAAGCGCGCGCCTGCGCGTTCAGGACGCTACGGAAGCCGGCAGACCAAACCAGATGAAAGTGCGCATTCAGCGTCTGCTCTGCTGATAATGCAAGCGTAGAAGAAGAAATTGCTGTTTACCTGTGCAAAGAAAGAAACAACGAAAGAAAAATGTCTGAGGACTTCAGTGTTGAGGAAGAGCATGAGTTCTTTGCCGAGCTGAATGCGCACTTTCATCTGGTTTGGTCTGCCGCGGTTTCCGTAGACTCGTGAACACGCTTTTAGGAAATACTATACACTACTGTTTATGCTCTAAAAACATTCTAAATGACTTCGTTTCGAGTAAATTCTGGATGCTACCCACTCAGGACACTTGGAATACATTGGACGAGCAGTATGGAGGAATATTGACACGTTTTTGTGGACTTTTATGGACCTTTCTGCCTCGGGCACCATAGACCTCCATTATCTGAATGTCAGCAGACAGCAAGAAGCCTCGCAGATCTCCAGATGCATTTGAGATATAAAAAAAGTACTCCAGAGTGTTGTTCAGCATGGGGGTGAGTAGAAAATGAAGGCTAATCATGTTTTGGGTGTACTATTCCTTTAAACTGCTGTTTGTTTTAAACAAAGAAACTTTAACTGGACCAGTTTAAGACCAGTTTGACCATAAGTTGCAAGAAAAGAGTCAATGATATAATTTCCTGGTTTCACTCACTGATCAGTCTTGGACAGTTTTTATCTAGATAAGACTTTTTATACATGGGTTCAGCTGTCTGATTTTATCCAGAACAGAGGTCACAGGTTAGCGGACCACGTCCGGATCCACCTGCTGGCTAATCCGGATCCAACCCGATTTAAAACACGATTAAATTACTGCATGTTGTCCAACGGCAGTGTCTAACTTCACTTGCGCTGCTTCTCCTGTTAATATGGTAAAGCCCTCCAGAACTGGTGACAGGAAAGTGAGATGGCATGCTTAAAGATGACCCTGCACATTTAAAGGATGTTTGGCTCAACCTGCTGCTGTGAAGCAGGATTCTTCACCATGAAGAGAATCAAAAATAAATATGGATCCAGGCTCAAAATGAGCACTTTAATGTGTGCTCTAGAATGTCTTTGTCTCCATTCAAACCCAGGTTTAAAGCCTGGCAGGGCAGCCTAAAGCCCACTGCCAACATTAAGCCAGAAAAAAGAAAGAAAAACAACAAAATGTCAGTTCAGGTGTTTTATAAAAGATGTGAATCAGGAAATTGTCTATATACCAAACTGAACGATTGTTGTTCTCTACATTAAAAAAAACACTTTAGGTTTTTAAAAAGGAAAAAATGTCCATTTCTTTTTTATTATATATATATATTTTTTTTAAATTAAATGTATAACGCGATGCATAAACAGCTCATTTTATTTCAGTGTTAAATTCTTTTAAAGTAATGGATTATAATTAAAAATGTCTCTGGACCTTTACTGGTTGATTTTCTTTATTCGGACCCTGCTGATGTTTAATTGGTTACCCTGATCTAGCACATCAGTTCTAGATTAAATCCGATGAAACTGGCAGAATGAAGGCGTCTGTTTCAGCCCAGATCCCAATAGGTTCTGACGAGGCTCGTGATGCTACCGGTTCTGCTATGATAACTACGATGGGTTCAACAGAACCCGGTCCTGAAGCCATCCCTGAACCGTTTCAGCACCAGCAGGCCTGGTTCTGCCATGCAGAGGACAGGTGTGTCCAAAGTACCTGCTGCTGGATCCAGCCTCCACCTTGTCCCTTTGGATCATCATGGTAACCGCTGCTCCTCTGCTGCTACCTGGGGACCCGTCATCATCATCCTCCTCCTCATCATCCTCTGAGCTCACAAGCTCCTCCAGACCAGTCCTGTAACCATGACAACAGATAATAACTAATCATGTTCGGCTTCTTTCATCCCATCTGGTAGAACCTCCTCCACTGACCAGAACCCGACTGCAGCGGCGGTCTTCCTCTTCTTCTTCGTCGGGGCCTCCTTCTGATCCATGCTGGGTCTCTTGGCGGCTGAGGAGACTCCCGCCTTCACCTGCCCGCTGGAGGACGTCTGTAGGCCTGCATCAAACACACACCTTAGTCACACACAGCCGCAGCTGGACTCAGCGGTCCCCATCAGTTCTGAACCGTCACCTTTCAGCACCGAGTCTTCCAGCCTCTCGCTCAGGTCGTGGCACTGCCGCTGGTACTCCGGGTCGGTGAACTGGTGTTTGGGCTCAGCTAGTTTCCTCTGGAGACGCTCCAGACGCCGCTGCTCCTTCTCTGCCTCACGCTCCGCCTGCTTCTTCAGCCAGTCCGCCATCCTGCAGCCCAAACACAACCAGAAATACGTTACAAAACCAGAACCAATACTATAGACATAGAACCTTAAGCGACGCCACTCTCCTCTTTGGCCTGTCCTGACATAAAACCGGTTTGCTATGCGCCTCTATGGTTGAACCGTGTTAGGAAAGGGAGGAGCTTACTCTTTCTCGTGGTTGACATCTCGGAGGCGCCGGCCACTCAGGTCTCTGCAGGCCTCTCTGTTGGTCGTCTTCTCAATCTGAGCTCCCAGAGCTCGGAGCATGGAGCCAAAACCTGGAGGACCAATAAAAACACGAGCTCTCAACCAACCAACCAAGCCACCAATCAGGGAAGGTCTACTTCCTGAAACTGACCTCCCTTCCCGCCACAGAGCCGTGGCTCAAGGTGATAGACGACGCCATTCTGCAGATGGTCTCCCAGATGGGCCAGGTGGCCGTTGGTGGAGACATAAAAGTCCTGAGTGAGAAAACAAAAGATCAGCAAACATTTTCAGATTTTCAGTTTGTGACAGAGAGATAAGCCCTGCCCCTGAATCTGCTATATTTGGTGTGACCCCTGCAGGGACCTTAGTTTGTCACAGAGCTTTTAGCTGCATTTCTGCTCTTTAATAAAATTAACTGCATTTGTACAACAAAGCCAACTAATGTCTAATTCAGTAGGTACAGGTTACCGTATTTTCACGACCATAAGGCGCAGTCTCAGTTATGTGTGCCTTTACTGTATTTAACACATAAGGCGCAGGTTTATATACAGGTACATGTCCTCTACTACGTATTTAAAAATAGAGCAGAGCAAAACTGAGTACGTTTGTGCTTTATTCATGTATTTATTACGAAGTATTAATCAATCGCTGATGACACAGAGCGCTGTGATCACTCCTCTGAAACAGTTTATTGACGGATAAATTAACTGAAAATGCAGAAATCTGCCAGCAGAATATGTTCACTTTTATTATCCTGGTGCCTGCAGTTTAGATTATTTAGATGAGAAACACCTACCAGCTGCTGCGGTGAACCACGAGGAGGCGACCCGGCCAGACAGAACTAATATTAGAAGGCAGGATGGTAATCTGGATGAACTGACTGCAATGATTAAGTTTTCAGGTGGACTTTCTCACTTAAAAACATTAAAACTACTGTATTCCCACCGATCACAGCAGATATAGCTGCAAGGCAAAGAAAGGATAGAGTAGCTCTGTCCAACGCGCATCAGACACACTTTTGCAGCAAAGCTGCTTCAGCCGCCCGTCAGAACTAACTGGTACAAGCAGCAAAAATTAAGCAGCAGACGCGATTTTGCTGCTCTTTCTGCGTCTGGTGTTTCACCATGTTTTTCACATCGGCTGTGAGATGGGCATGCATGGAGTCACAGATTAACAGCGATGGTGATGCGTGGAAAAAAACCACCTGGTCTCCTTACATACACCTCCCTCAGCCACTCTTTCATCATCTCCTCAATGAGGAAATGAGGAGTTCTGCATAAAGCACATACCTGTTCTTTTATACACAATCTATGCCCACACTTCCCCCTTTAACGTTCTCATGGCGGTCTCAACAACGTCCGCAGTAACAACACACATAGGGCGCGCCGCACATTTTGAGGGAAAAAAGACGTTTATATGTGCCTTATAGTCGTGAAAATACGTTAAACATAATTCAGTTTATTTCTATGGCGCCAATTCACAACACATGTCATCTCAAGGCACTTTAAAGTTTACCAGATCATCCAGTCAGATTGATTCAAAGTTTTCTATCTAAGGAAAACCAGTTGACTGCATCGACTCATTGACTCTTCAGCAATCCCTCACACTAAGCATGCCTGTGGTGACAGTGGAGAGGAAAAACTCCCTCTAACAGCTGATAACTGGACCTTATCTGATTTACTGCAAGAATAGTATAGTTTTTGTGCGAAATATGTTCTTAAAATCACCTTCTAGCTTCATATTATTATTTCCATTAGTGAGAAATGCTCACATTGAAGCCTCTCATTATGTCCTGCTGCCATTACGGATCGTTTATACTGCAGTCCATTGATAAGGATTCATCCTAGCTGAATTAACTCAGAGTTAGCTTGCTGGCATCAGCTGTTCTAAAACCAAGAATCCTAATATTACAGAGTTGAATAGAGTTGAATCAGGATAACCGCTCTCTACTCAGAACAGATTAAATCCACTTTATGAAACAAGACTCTCACCTGGGATGAGGTAAAGCACCCATCTCAAACCCAGCTACTTCAGTCCCAGTTCTGGTTTCTGTCTCCAGGCTCCCAGGGATCCTCTTCGTATCCTGCTATTAGCTTCCCTGTCTACAAATCTCTGCTTAACTTACCAACAATGTACAGCTCAGTTTATTTCAAAATGTTCTGAGAGGATGCGCAGAACTTCTAAAGGAAAACTGACTCGACAAGAATACCAGAGCTTATCAAAAGCTGCTCGAAGGCAGACAGTCCTGTAACTTCTAGATGTAAACAGACCTGACTCCTGGTGTAACTCATTTGCAGAACTCTGTATAGCTTCATTTTATGCTACTGAGCAGCTCACTCATGTCTTCTGGAGGAATTCCAGCTTAGTTATTTAGAGTCTAATTGAGCTGTCTGTGTTCCCATCACTTTATTCTAAACGTGTTGTATTTTCTCCACATTAGCCTCCGCTAGCTTAGCTGCTAACTCTGGCTACCAGCTCTGATTGTGCCTCCAAATCAAAGTTCTCTCGGTTTGGTTAACTTTAAATACTCACTTGCTGTGGGACAAATCTTTCCAGAACATCTCTGACCACGGAACCAGGTGGGAATTCACAGCTGGACCATCTGAATCCGATGCTTGGGGCCACAACAAACACCTCCATCTTGGCTTCGTGTGGTAGAACGGTAGTTAGCGGACTGCGCAGGCGTGAGAATTTATAGGACGTTTCATCGGCGCCCCCTGGTGGACGGAGTAAAAAACAGTGCTTTCAGACCCAGAAATTCTAAAATATTCAGAGGAAACAAACCTTTTTAAAATATATTTATTTAAACAAAGTAAGTACAAACAAGTAAGGCAATAGCAAAAGTACAAATCTGTTGAAGGCATAGTAGAGACAGATTGCAAAAATGGAAGTACAAGGCATTATTGATAAGGAACAAAATAAAAAAATAAAAAGAGAGGCTCATAATAATGAAAAAAATATTAACATGGCAACAAGGGGATTCATGTTAGGATTGATGAACATCGGTGGGAAAATCCATCAGTATTTCAGCTATTCGTATGATTCGATACATTTAAGAGTTTTCAAATATAACTTGAATTGAGATTATGAATAAAGAATTTTGCTAAGCACAAAATTAGGTTACAATAGATTTCTATTGTTTTGTTTTTCAATAATATTCCAAAAGTTACCATATTTCTAGAAATACATTCAGGAAGTCTAATTTTTTATTTGATCGCATTCATAGAAGACATGGTCAGCTGTTTCTATATCACTTTCACAGAATGAGCTTTTATTGTCATCAGTATTAAAATACATTATTTGTATTTCCTTTGAGGTGTAAATTGCGTTTTAAATTTTAAAGTGAGTTTCTTTAGCTTTTGGTATATGGGGAGTTTTAGACTAAACGTTCTCAGTGGTTCAATTGATTTTTTTTCTCAAATTGGCAAAGAATGTTATTTTTATTTATTTTCCCAGGGAATAAAGTTTTGTTTAGACAGTTCCTAATTGTGTGGTTATTGAATTTTTGGTCAGTGATTAATATTCCATTAATAGATAACTTGGGAAGTTGCGGGGTCATTGGATAATATGTTTTTATCTTTTTAATGTGATTGACAAATTGTTTTGGTAAGGCATTAAGTAATCTGGTAAATTCAGCTTTTGGAGGGATTAATTGATATTTCAGAGGAAACAAGCAGCAGGAAATAAAAATACAAAAAAAAAAAATTAAAAGATATTGGAAAAGAAAACAAGGCGGTAGTCTATGAAACTATGTAAGATTTATGTTCCATCTTTGTTTAATAACCAAACTCTGGTTGATAATAAATAGTTTGACATCATTGATGACCACACTCCAGTCTGGTAGGTGGCGGTAAATGCACCGTAAGTTGGTTGCCATCCATTAAAAAAAAACTAAAGAAGAAGAATGTTTTGCTTCACCGTCATTAGGGGGCGCTGTTCCAAACAGGCAGTCAAAGCGAATTCCTCTCTTCCGGTGTTGGAGGACAAAATGGCGGCTTTGTGTAAGCTAAGATTTGGGGTCCGGTCAGCGGTCCGGTTCTCGCCAAGCATCTCCATCCGGACCTCCTTCAGCTCGGACTGCGATGACGGAGCCAGGCCTGGGTCCGGCTTCGCGGCAGCCTTTCAGCGACAGGCGGAGCTCCAACGGGAGGCAGATGGCGACCAGAGCGGCTCCATCCCCGGACAGGAACAGACCTTCGCCTCGCTGTTCAAGGAGGCACCGATTAGAGACAATGTGGTTGTCGGGAGGATTTTCCATGTGGTCCGGGATGACCTGTATATAGACTACGGAGGGAAGTTTCACTGCGTCTGCCGGAGACCCGCAGCTGGAGGAGAGCGGCTGCAGCGAGGCTCCAGAGTCCGGCTGAAGATCCTGGATCCGGAGCTCACCGCCCGGTTCCTGGGAGCCAAGACCGACACGACTCTGCTGGAGGCGCAGGGGATTCTGTTGGGTCCGCTGGAGGGACGGGAGGTCCAGAAACGTGGGCAGAACCAGAATCAGGAATAAAAACTGTAACTTAAACCCGAACTGGAACTTAACAACAGCTTTCTAACTGGCGTGGTGGGGCCCTGGATGGGGGGCCCAGGGCCCAAAGTCAATGACTTGTTTGTTTTGAAAATATTTTGTAAAATAATCCAACTGGATTAAAAATATGGCATATAAAATACCAACTGTTTCTTGGAGAAATTTTACTGATGTTTGTCCTGCACCTGAGGCTGTTTTATTAAGATATAGGCTGTTTATACAAAGTTTTCAAAGTGCTTGACACAAAATCAAATAAAAATAGATTGTTAAAATGCAGATACTAGAGATTTGAAAGATGAGATCAGATAATTTTACTCAAAACTGTTGTAAATCTAAGAGCCCAGTTTAAGAAAGATCTGCTGATCTATTCTTACTAGTAGGAAATACATACTTTAAGTATTCAATTTAACTCTTTATTGCAAGACACATGTTCATGTTCAGCATACACATTTGCCAACCAAATTTGAGGAAAAAGCCCCTACATTTAGAGAAGCTAAATAACAGATATTTGATTATATTACATTTTTATAAGCAGCAATTAATGTAATTCTCATAGACGTAATGTGTACTAAGCCATCTTCTGCCAATGTTTCATGCTTCAGATGGGAATCTTAATCAGTGCCGGTGATGATAAAATCTGTCTTTATTAAAGCAGATTTGAGAGGACTAATTCCTTTGGAAAAATTCAAATATCTAATTGCGCCCTAATCACATTCACCTGTTGGAGATATTTTAGTCTTTCAAATCCAACCTCAATAGGTTATTTCAGAGGAGGAAACTTTCCAACACTTCCTTGTTTAGATCCAAATTAAAAAGTAGGAAATACTCATGGATACTTCCAAAAACCCTGCTACTGAGCAGGGATGTTTCATAGTCATTTATAGCTTTTACTTTAAGCATAACTGCTTCCTGGCTTTGTGAAACAGAACACTCAGTGTAAGCGGGGTCAGACCCCAGAACTTAACTCTGGATCAAAACTAACTCTGCTTTGTAAAAATAGGGCCCAGGTATCCTGTATGAGTAATCCATCACACACGGACAGTTTGGTTTGCCTCACTTTATTAAATGTCAGGATGGGAGTAAAGAACTCAGCTGAGTATCACAGCCAGTGAAAGCATAAATACAGAGTAGCTACAGCGCCCTCTATCAGTGCAGACTAGCACAGCAGCAGGTAGGTTACATGTACAGCTCTAGTACCAAAGGACAGTTGGTTGTACTATGGGTCTGTAGTAATGCACTTCTGAATGAAGATGTTCCTGAGAATAGGAGGTCTGCAGACTGCAGACAGAGCTGCATTTCTGAGGGTCAGTCATGTCCGCAAACGTTCTGTTCCAGGTTTCAAGAACCCAGGAGGAACCTAGCTGCTGTCAGTAAATACATGGGTTAAATGAAGGAAGGAAGTGTTCCTTTTTACATTTCAAGTCTCAGATCATTTGAATCTCATTTATAAATAAAACACTTGGAAGTGAAACCGAATCATCCTCACATTATTGGCAGAATCTCTGACTGCAGCTGAACACCAGAACCAGAGGAGGGTCCGCCTGCTGGGTTTTTTATTGAAAGAGAATGTTCCAGATGGATCATGATGGATGAACCATCTCAACCAATTAGGTGATTCCTCTGAGGTTAAACTAAGCTGTTTACTTTCATGCATGTTAGTACAGTTAATGATCATTAACAGATAAATATGAATAAATATGTTCAAATCAAACTCAGGCTCCACTCTGACTACTGCAGAATTACCGTCGTATTGTTGCAATTCTCCATTTCATTATTGTAGTAACATTATAGTATTTTGTTAGTATGGTAGTGGTATCTTTGTAGTATCGAGGTGTTATGCCAGGACAGTGGAGCAGAAGAAGTGTCCTCTCAGTCTAGTTGTTGCCCTCTTATCCGTCCTCTCTCGGCGCTCTGAGGTTTAGCCACACATGGTCAAAAAGAGCCACTGGGGAGAGGAAGCAAACACAAAAACGGTGAATTTACGGCGCCTCCTGCTACATTTCCAGCCCTGCTGATCCATACGCTCTGGATCATCCAGATTATGGTTCTGTCTCAGAACAAGTGGAGGTTTGGTCCTTCTACCCATGTGTTGATCTATTTTGTTTCTAGATGAGAATGACAGAAGTGTTTGTAGATCATCCAATGTTGATACAGGAGGTCATTATATTGGCTAAATGGATCAAACCAGCAGAACAAGATCCAAACTAAAGCAAAGAGAAAATCCCTGTTATAATCAAGACCACCTAACTCAAGATCGAGTCAAGACCAATGCTGCACCCCTCAAGTTAAATTAAAACAATTAAAGTCTTCAATTTTTTAATAAAACGCCTAAAATGTTCATTTTTAAATATTTCTTTACCAGCTTTTATTGTCATTACATCGTCTCAAGTACAGCGCAACACAACTAACCCATCCCCTTGGGGAGCAGTGGGTAGCCATTGGAAGGTACGGTGGCCCTGAAGTGCAAACTGCAACTACAAATCTAAAATCGCAACTACATTAAGGAAATCGCAACTACATAAAGCAAAGCGCAACTACATTAAGAAAAACAAAACTACATAAAGCAAAGCGCAACTACATTAAGAAAAACAAAACTACATAAAGCAAAGCGTTTTCCATATAAGCTGCTGTCCCATTGGTCCTATTTATTATGGAGGATAAAAAGTGTCAAAATTAAATAAACAATTACAGCATTAAATAAATAATTAAATGTGTCAATAATTAATTAAATGTGGAATAAAAAAAATAAATGTGTCATTCATTAATTAAAACCACATCACTAATATAAAGTGCCACAATTAAATAAATAAATACAGCAATAAACAATTAATTAAATGTGTAATTCATTAAATAAATAAGGAATTAAATATATAAATGTGTCATTAATTTAATAAAAAACGTCTTCATTTTATAAAAAAAAAATATATAATTATTTCAGTGTGCATTTAATTATTTCATGGTCCTGTGTGGCAGTGCATCGAAACCATTAAAAGAATCTGTCAAACTCACCCATCAAAGTTAGGGGGCGGGGTTAACGCGAATCGAGTCTCTGTAATCGATTTGCTTCGCCTTAATGTGCAGGGTGACCAATCAGGTGTTAGATAACCGCCCCCTAACTTTGATGGGTCTGGAAGTGAAAGTGAACCAAACCTGTGGCTTTTGGTTTTCGTCATTTGGGGAGTCGCTGTAGTTCTTTATCAAAGAGCTGGATTGGTTGTCTGACCCACAAGATTAATAGAATATCTATCTTCCTGTCTCTATCTGTAGCATGCTGGCTATTTTGAAGCAATTTTTTTGTAACGATTTTAATAAACTTAAAAGTAGATGCTAAGCAGTGCTAAGTAACCAGAGTAATATAATAAGCTATAATTAGCATAAATGCGTGGGCTTGAACCATTTAATTTCACATCATGAATAAAATATATACATTTAATGTTATTATATACACTTTCTTCTTGACTGGTCTTGAAATAAAATCCTATGTCAGTGGTTCCATACCCTGATCTTCAGGGAGCACTGCCCTGCGTCTTTTAGATATCCCTCTGTTCCAGCACACCTGATTCAAATTAAGGCTCCTCCTCTGCAATCAAGTGCTGCAGAAGCCTGTTAATCATCCATTATTTTCTAGTGTGATGCAACAATTAAACACCTAAAATATGCAGGACGGGGTCCCTGAGGACCAGGGTTGGAAACCATAGTCCCATGTCTTTAATGACCGAGACCATATAGAGTCAAAAGTTGGTCTAGTCACCGGTCTCAAGAGTTACAACACTGGGAACAATATACGGAGTTTGGTACCTCACTGAAATTTAACTCCACAGTTCCGGTCCCATCTCTGTCCAGGCCTTGGAAGGTCTCTGAAAAACAGACTCCAGGTCAGTTTGGGAGCACAACAGTAGAACAGCAGCAGTTTATTGATCAGTTCGGAGGTTCTGGACTTACTGAACATGGTCTCCAGTTTGACCACGCAGCAGGTGAAGTTGTCAAAGTCGATGATCTCGTTGTCGGCGTATCTAGCGATCAGCATCTGATAGAGCTTGTTGTTCAGTTTGAACCCTGCAGACAGAGCAGATCCCAGGTCAGGTAGATGAAACCGAACCAACTCAAAACATATCAGTGAAAAAAAAAAAAAAACTCACCGCCATTTTCAAACGCCAGACGCATCTCGTAGGAATTCATGCAGCCGGACTTATCCAGATCAAACTCTCTGAAGATTCCCTGAAACACAACATTATCTCCTGAATATAGGAACCAGGAAACAAGGCAAGGCAATTTTATTTGTATAGCACAATTCAGTACGTAGAAACTTCTAAGTGCTTTACATGAGTTAGATCATAAAATAGAAGAAAAATAAAAGCAAAACATTTGTAAAGACACATAAAATCATTGGACCAAAAAAAAAAAAAAAAGCAGAATGAAGCAGGTCCATGAACAACCCAAACTGTGGGATTCAGCTCTGGTCCTGATCCTCATTAGATGTAGTTTAAGTCAGAACCAGCCTGACTTCGTCATAACTCACCAACCACTTCTTAATCTTGTTCCAAAGGATCTGAAACTCCACCAGTCCGAGCCGAGCACTGCCATCTTTCTGAGGTCCAATTAAGGTCCAGCCAACCCAAATCAAAACATAAACCTCTAAAAAAGAAGGAGAGATTCTTCTACTGAACCCAGACTGAGTTAATGTGTGCTTTGACACTGACTGAACGCAGGTCTGACCCAGCCTAGAGCTGGTTTAGATTGGGTCAGAAGTGATTCTGGTCTCTTTGAGGGAGGATACATCCATGAGGCTGACCATGGCCCTGCAGGACTCCATGCTGAATCCATCGGTCTGTAGATCTCTGTCTGTAAAGACAACCACAAAACAAGAAGCATCTTAACACAATGGAACCTGAGACCTTAACATCAATGAACATCAGAGTGCAGTTTGACTCTGGGGGAAACTGTAATGGATGAAGTGGTATCAGAAGGCCTGCAGACCCATCTCCTCTGTCCTCTATGGTCAGATAAATCTTTAACAGGATGTTCTGCATCAACAGGGTCAATACTGTTATCTTGAGCCTGACTGCGATTGGCTGAATCACTCTCAATCATCAGATTTTAAAGTGACTCACGTTTGGAGACCACTCTGTTGAGGATGGTTCTGAGCTCACGCACTGAGATCTCCATGTCCTTTAAAAAGAAAGACTACTCAGACCTGAAACAAAGACTGGGAGGACATCAGAGACGCTCCTGAAACTGAACTCACGTCTCCAGAAAGCTGAGCAAACATGGACCTAAAGGAGTCATCAATGTCTCTTTCGGTGACTTCCTCCTGTGGACAGCGACAGACACATTAAGACAACATCAACAAAGGAACCATCTCCAAGAATTAGCAACCTCCTCTCTCACCTCCTCATCCAGGTTTGTAACGACGACATCATCCATGTCCCTGCAAAGAGATTCAAATAAACGTAACTAAGAGAAGACTGAACCACAGATCCAGATCTTCTCCATGGTTCATACAGACTCACTCTGTCTCGGACTCCTTTTCAGTGAAAACTCTCAGGACAAAGTCCCCCTCCTTGGAGGGCTCAAACGTAGATGGGACGATCAGGTACTCTCCTGGAGGAAGGCGGAACCTGGAGCTCACCTCTCGAAGGTTGATGAAGGTCTCGGAGCGAGCGCAGGAAGAGCGGCGCAGGAAGAAATCCTTCTTCATGTGGACACCTGCAGAACCTTGGAACTACAGGATTGGGGGATGGAGAGTCGTCAACATGAAGCCCAAAAGCAAATATGGGAAAATAAATGACAGGTTGAATCACTGACCTCTTTGGGAATCTGTGAAGGAGACAGAAAAAACAATTCTCAGTAGGCCAACATAACCGTCTTCAATGACAAAGCAGGAATCATCAGACCTCAATGCAACAGGACTGACAGGAGATTATGATGTTTGGTTCTATTTATCTGACTATAGCTGAGAAAATCAATTACCATCTGAACTTATGGATGATGAAGATTTTAAATAGGAACATAAACAAGGTAATTGCTTCTCAGAAAGAGAAGTGTTTTGGCCAAATTCCATCTGTTCCCTCCTTAGTGAAAGGTAATGCGTCATACTGAAGGGAAAATTGGAGAGCTCTGGAGAAAACGTCTCCATCAACGTCTCATACCACGACCCCCTGACCCTGGATAAATGGTGACTGGAGAAGATGGTGGACTTACTGGAAATGTTTATGAAAGGGTACAGGATGGTCTAAATCAGGGGTCTGCAACCTTTAATATCCAAAGAGCCATTTTGCCCCAAGTCCGACCAAGTAAAAGTTGTTTAGAGCCGCAAAGTAGATGACTTTTTAGAAAAACAATTTGTTTGTTTTTTTATTATCTAGTATAGAAAATTAGTTGCCATCTTAAACAACCAACAATGTATGTATTTTATTTTTAAAATAATATTAAAACACATAAATTCCAGGCTAATTAAAAGGAAATTGACTCTAAAAACATATTTCTGGTTCTTTTAATGTCCTTCTTATCCATCTTATAAAAAACACTAAAGCCTTTGAGACTGGTATTTATTTTGTAGTACATTATTTAGCTCTTTATATACATTTTAGCCACTTTAAGAGGTGCTGCAGAGGGTCCAAAGAGCCACAAGTGGCTCTGGAGCCATAGGTTGCAGACCCTTGGTCTAAATGCTCACAGGAGGAGGGGTGGATGGATGGATGGATGGATGGATGGATGGATGGATGGATGGATGGATGGATGGATGGATGATGGAGGGAGGGATGATGGCTTAATGGATGATAAATGGATGGATGGATGGATGGATGGATGGATGGATGGATGGATGGATGGATGGATGGATCGATCGATCGATAGATGATATATGGACGGATGGATGGATGGATGGATGGATGGAGGGAGGGATGATGGCTTAATGGATGATAAATGGATGGATGGATGGATGGATGGATGGATGGATGGATGGATCGATCGATCGATAGATGATATATGGACGGATGGATGGATGGATGGATGGATGGATGGATGGAGGGAGGGATGATGGCTTAATGGATGATAAATGGATGGATGGATGGATGGATGGATGGATGGATGGATGGATGGATGGAGGGAGGGATGATGGCTTAATGGATGATAAATGGATGGATGGATGGATGGATGGATGGAGGGATGGATGGATGGATGGATGATATATGAATGGACAGATGGAGGTAGGGAGGGAGGCAGAGAGGGAGGGATGATGGATTGATGGATGATGGATGGAGGGTCAGCGCTCAGGTCATTGTGTTCTCCTTTATGTTTCCTTCTGGTTAAGTGGTATTTTTCTTTAAGCTCATTGATTCTAGTCATGGTGATGATGGCCTGCAACCAGTATCTCTTCTCTCTACACCCCAATAACAAAAGATTGGTTGACTCTAACCACTGCCTCCTGATACATTTTCTATGATGGAGTATTTCAGACCTGCTGAGCTGCTGATATACTGTAATATTGTAGTTCTCAGAGAAAACAGTTTTTTTTTTTGTGGCAGAGTTGTCCTTGCTTAGAAAAAGCGCTGACCTCATAAATGGCGAAACCGATGGTGTGCATGTCCTGGCCATGTTGGCGGTACCGGCGGCGGTCCTTCTGCATCAGTGCCACCAGGACGCTGCAGGCAGCCTCGTCATCCTCAGGGTCATCATCCTCCTCTAACAGAGTCATCTTATACTGAGGGTTGATCCAGAATGTGTCTGCAGAAAGGCATAGTGGGAAATGTAGTTATGTCAAATGTAGTTTTTTTGTTAGAAGTGCCTTGAAGGTAAACACCTGGACCCTGATTCTAAAACCAGGACAAAACAGCCTCTATCCTCACTCGGGTGGTTCCTGCAACCTCCGGCCGTGCTTCCTCTCCTCCAGCTGCCCTCATGCGTCATCGTGGTCCAGAAGCTGGTGGCGTCCTGACTCAGGGCATCTGGGGTCAGGTTACAGATCTCTAGACGGGAGAACTGACGCAGAAATTCCTGGAAAGGCATCCTGAAACAGAAGACCAACCTGTTAGAGAAGTAAAGAGTTAGAATCCTACAAGGTATTTCCCAGAACCAACCTACCAGAACTCCCCGTCCTCCATCTTACAAAGCATCTCATCCTTTTCCGCAGAATCGACGTAGTTCCATTCTGAGGAGCTGACATATTGAGATTTGAATCAGTTTCAACTCATATCTCAATCTACTTTCTCTCCTGTGAAACACTGACCTGTCACTCCAGGCTCCGGTCCACTCCACCTGACCCCAGGGGTTCCTGATTCGGATCAGACGCTCCTGTCGCCCTCTGAACTCCACCTGCAGCAGTGAAAAAGAAGACAGCATGCCTTTATCTGAGATCGCCAACGTGAGTTCTGGTCAGGCATCTACATTGGCCCAGATGGCGATCTGAAGGACCAAGCAGATGCTCTGGCGAAAAACAACCCAGAACAACATTATGCTATTGGTCAACAGTCAGTCTGGTGAAGCTAAGACTCTACTGCGTAAAACGGACCAATTACAGTGAGGGAGACGGGAGTTAATGCTTAGCCCAGGATTGCCCACAATGCAACACTGCTTTTCTCACTGGAAAAAATCTAAATCTAGATAAGTAATTTTTTCATTTGTTCTTGAATTGAGAAGGTAAGAGACATTTTGCCAATGGACAACGACAATTTACATTCAAAATAAGAAAACACAATTGCATTGTCTTATTTCAAGTGCGTTTTATCTGAATATCTTATTTTAAGAGTAAAAATACTCATTCCATTGGCAAATCATCTCATTTACCTACTCAAATTAAATGTAAATACACTTAATTTAAGACATTTTTACTTATTTTTGAGATCATTTTTCCAGTGCTGTAACCATAAGAATCAAGACTGCAACAAGGCAATGTTTTAATGATGCTCTATTTTTTTTTTGAATGAACAGGATTTATCTTTAAAACTTCAACAACTTGCTGCTGTAAGAGATTTTCTTTTCAAAAGACATTTTTGCGTTGCATCCATCTTATTGGTTCTATCCCTTTTCCACAAATCCTGTTAATCCAGCCTTTGAAAAAAGATGTATCAGTCCAGCTGGCTAGCATGTCCTGCTACAGACCTAACCAAACTTAAACGAGAGATCCTCCTAAAAGTGCTGCCTGCTCTCCATTACAGATGCAAAGGCAGCACTTTTACAAAGTGCGACCTGAAAGCTTCAACAGAGGCATCATTTTGAACGAGTAACCTACCAGGAAAGCATAAAAATAACTACAGATTTTCCAGTGGAGGTCTGGACCAGCTCTGCAGGGTGATCCAGGGTTCATGGAAGCTTGCTCAACTGGTCCACAAGAGCTTTGCAGACCTGGAGACGCCATTCAATCGTGTCCCTCATGGTGCCCATAGAGGTACCTTTACGAGGGGCCTCTATACAAGTGTAGCAGGAGTCTGGTCCACATGCCGGCATTGAGTCAGAGTTGTACCCACTGCATGTTGGATCCAAGCAGGGGTTAACAAGCAGAGTTCATCTCTGCCTTTTGCAGATGAAGGGGTTCTGCTGGCTCCTTCCTGTTGACAACTACAGCATGCAATGGGGAGATTCACTGCTGAAGGTGAAGTGGCTGGGATGAGGATCAGGTCCTCTAAGTCCGAAGCCATGGTTCTAGATCAGTTTTTAGGTTGGAGGAGAGTTCCTGCCTCAAATGGAGGAGTTCAAGTATCTTGACCTATCTATGAGTCTGAGGAAGGATGTGTGGCCCAAATCGTCACTCACTGTTTTTGGTGAATAAAGCAACCTGGGAGCTACAACTAGGAGTGCTACTGTGCACCTAGTCTTAATTTCTTTAGGACGTATGTGATTTAAAAAAAAAAAAGGCAAAGCTCTCGATTTACTGGTCGATCTACATTCCTACCCTCACCTATGTCAATGAAATCTGGATCCTGACTCAACCAATAAAATACTAGATATAAGCAACTGAAATGATATTTCTCTGCAGGAAGGCTCTCCCTTAGGGATAGGGTGAGGTGCTCGGTCATTCATGAGAGGATAAGAGTAGAGCCGCTTCCTTATCAGCTGATGAGTCTCAGGCATCTGTTTCAGATGTCCATGGGATGCCTCCCCCTGTGTTAAACACCCATCCCACCCAAGGGACAACCCAGGACCTCAGTATCTAAGTCTTTGAAGTATAAGTAAGCAAATTAGTAAGGTCTTTAGATCCTAGCAGACAGTCATGTTAATGGGGCATTGGAGGCTAACCCAGGTCTTACCTGTCTTAGGCCAGTCACTGAGTAGGCGTGGCCTTTCACTAGCTTCTTGAAGGTGATGGCCTCCATGTCACAGGAGCTGGTGATCTAAAAATGGAGCACACCAAGATATTCTAAAGGCGAAGCTGTGAGTTTAAAGACAGTTAAACTCACAGGTTTGTCTTTAGAATTAGTTTAAGCTCATTGAACTTATTGTTTCTGATGAACTACAAGGAGGCTCTGCAGACTCTGGTTGATGGACTGGGATCTGTGGATTCTGGAGTTCCAAGGTTTCTGTTGAACTGCACATACAAGTCAGAAACTCACATCTATAGAGCATCCCAGCAATGATCCTCTCTCTAGAGCTTTGCTGATAATCCGGTAGAGATCTCTGGGAGCTTTCTTCAGCTCATACATCTCTGCCACACCCCCTGTGAAGTCCTCAAAACCTTCAGTGGTGCTGCCACCGGACAATGCTTCATACGAGCCGCACAACCTCGAAAGACACAAACAAACATGGATGGATGGATGATCGATGGATGATAAAAGGATTAATGGGTAAACAGATGGATGGTTGGATAAATGGACGAATGATGGATGAATCAATGGATGGATGATAAAAAGATGGATGGATAAAAAATGGATGGATGATAAGCAGATGGATGGATAAAAGATAAACTGATAAATGGATGGATGGATGGATGGATGGATGGATGAATGGATGGATGGATGGATGGATGGATGGATGATAAACGGATGGATGGATGGATAGATGGATGATAAACAGATGGATGGATGGATGGATAGATGGATGGATGGATGGATGATGGAGGGATGGATGATGGATGATAAACAGATGGATGGATGGATGGATGATGGAGGGATGGATGATGGAGGGATGATTAGATGATAAACAGATGGATGGATGGATGGATGGATGATGGAGGGATGGATGATGGAGGGATGATTAGATGATAAACAGATGGATGGATGGATGGATGATGGATGGATGATGGAGGGATGGATGGATGGATGGATGATGGATGGATGGATGATGGAGGGATGGATGGATGGATGGATGATGGAGGGATGGATGATGGATGGATGATTAGATGATAAACAGATGGATGGATGGATGATGGATGGATGGATGGATGGATGATAAACAGATGGATGGATGGATGATGGATGGATGGATGGATGGATGGATGGATGGATGGATGGATGGATGATGGAGGGATGATGAGATGATAAACAGTTGGCTGGAGGATGGTTGGATAGATGCTAGAGGGATGGATGGATGGATGGATGGATGGATGATAAACAGATGGATGGATGGATGGATGGATGGATGGATGGATCGATGGATGGATGGATGGATGATGGAGGGATGGATGATGGATGGATGATTAGATGATAAACAGATGGATGGATGGATGGATGATGGAGGGATGGATGATGGAGGGATGATTAGATGATAAACAGATGGATGGATGGATGGATGATCAATGATGGCAATCCTTTTGGGGAAAGCCTGGTCTGATTCGGAGAGACGGCATCCATCCCACTTTGGATGGTGCAGCTCTTCTTTCTAGGAATCTGGCCACATTTATTAGTCCTCCAAAACCCTGACCACCCAGGGTGCAGACCAGGAAGCAGAGTTGTAGTTTAACACACATCTCTGCAGCTTCTCTACTGTTACCCACTCTTTACTCCATCCAGACAGTGTCTTGCCCACGACCAAAATCTAATAAATTAGCAAAGATTCCCAAAGGAGTAAATCATGATAATCTAATTAAAATCAAAATAACTCCAATTGGGGAAAAAGTTAAAACAATTAAATGCGGTCTGTTTAACATAAGATCGCTTTCCTCTAAAAGTCTACTAGTTAATGACTTGATTTGTGATAATCACATTGACTTGTTTTGCCTTACAGAAACCTGGCTGCAGCAAGAGGATTATGTGAGCATAAATGAGGCAACTCCTTCAAGCTATTTAAATTTTCACATCCCCAGAAGTTCTGGGCGAGGAGGAGGAGTAGCAACAATCTTCCAGTCTGACTTACTGATTACTCCCAAAACAATTAATACCTACAACTCTTTTGAACATTTAACCCTTAATTTCCCTGATCCAAATTTCAAGGCAAGAAAACCTCTTCTTTTTGTAACTTTGTATCGTCCACCAGGTCCTTACTCTGAATTTTTAGATGAGTTTTCAGAGTTCCTTTCTGATTTGGTATTAAATACTGACAGGGTCATCATAGTGGGAGATTTTAACATCCATGCTGACATTGAAGGCGATAGCTTAAGAGCAGCCTTTAATGCTATCTTAGACACTATTGGCTTTGTTCAAAATGTGAATAGTCCCACGCATTCTCATCTTCATACTTTGGATCTTGTGCTGACATATGGCATAGAATGTGAAGAAATAACAGTATTTCCTCACAACCCTGTCCTCTCTGACCACTTTCTAATAACCTTCAGGATTACTTTAACAGAGTTCTCCTCCCCCAAAAGAAGGTTCAATTTTAGTAGATCTTTATCAGATAGTGCAGTTATAAATTTTAAAGAATCTGCTTCACTTTCTCTCTGCTCTGTGTCACTGAGCAGTGCTGCAGAGTGCAAAAGCTTAGCTTATTCCCCTTCACAGGTTGATGATTTTGTTGATGGGGTTGGCTAGTTTTTCTGCGTATTCCCCTTAAAACAACGCAGCTCCTTTGAAAATAAAAAACCGTTAAAAATAGAAAGCTTGCTCCGGGTTTTTAAAAGCCAGAGCCGACTTTGAAGAAAAAAGCTAGGAAACGGGAGAGAAAAAAATCGCTCCACGGGCCGGGCAAAGAGCCCTTTCCCTAGTTTCTGGGAAAAATGTTTTAAACTGCTGTATAAGGGACCCTTTGTAAAGCAAGAGCAAGCATACTTCCCCCAAATTTAATAGAGGAGAATAAGAAAAAATTTCCAAGTTTTCTTTTTAATACAGTTCCCCAAACCCCAACCCAGACCATACTCTTTTGAACCGCCCCCATTCCACCTGCTCTTAGCAGCAATGTTTTTTAGGGATTCTTTAAAAATAAGATTGATCTTATTAAAAATAAGATCAAAAAACCATTTCCTCTAATCCGCAAATTGTACCTGGGGTAGCCCATGGAATCTAAACCCGGGGTTTTAGACTGCTTTAACCGGGGTTGAACTCTCTAAATTGAAAAATTTATTGTTTCATCTAAGCCTTCAATTTGGGAATGTTAACCCAAATTTTAAAAACCCATTTATTTAAGGAGGTTTTCCCCTTTGATCTCCCCCTCCATTTTAGATGTGTTTAATTTTATCTCGTTACGGGGATATGTACCTAAAGTTTTTAAGATTGTTTGAAAATTAAACCTCTGTTTAAAAAACCCGGGCCCTCTTGACCCAGGGGGTTGGTTTTTGGGGGGGGGTTTTTTTTTATAAATTTTGGGGATTGGGTTTTTTTGGGGGGGGGAAATTTGGGTTTTGGGGGGGGGGTTGGGGGTTTAGAGCTCATCATAGCACTGAAACAAACTCCCCGGTTTAAAGTCACTAAAGATATTCTATGGGCCCCAAATAATGGACTTGTAACTGTGCTCGTCCCGTTGGATCTTTGTCTGCATTTGATACAGTTGCCCCTAATAATTTTTTTTAGAAAGACTTGAATTTTTGTTTAATTAAAGGAACAGCAAATAGACTGGTTTTTAAAAACTTATCTAACCCATCGAAAATTTAAAATTTTGGTTTTATGTTTTAAAGATTTGATCTTCAACACGCTCAAAGGTTTCCTGTGGATCCCCCAGGGTTCCCTTTCTAAGGGCCAATTCCCCTTTACTTTAAAACTGCTCCCAATTGGTAGAAATTTTTTTAGACAGGGATGGGGGTTTAAATTTCCACTGTTATGCCCGATGATACCCACTATATTCCCGTCTATAAAAACCAATGAAGCTAACCCCTTTCATAGATTACAAAGGGAAATTTTTTTGAAGAAAAAAAAAACCTGGAAAGACTCTTAACTTTCTTCTTTCTGAATGCAGAAAAAACAGAAGTTTATAGTCCCTTTGGACCAAGTCTCTGAAAAAGAAACGATTAGCCAGTTTAAATTCAAATTTGGGTGGTTAAAAATGATTTTTAGTAATAAAGTAAAAAATCTTTGGGGTTATTTTTGATCAGGACCCCGTCATTTAAATCCCATAACAAAAGTTTTTTAGAATTTCTTCTTTTATCTGAAACATTGCAAAAAAAATTTGAAATAAACCTGTCCCCGGGGGATGCCGAGAAACTTTTCCTGGCATTTGTTTAAATTCAAGGCTGGACTATTGTAATTCTTTTTCTATCTGAAGTCCCAAACTGTAGTTTTAAAAGCCTTCACTGATCCAAAATGCTTTCAGCCCCGAGTTTTTAATGAAAATTTAAAAAAGAGAGATCATACTCTCCTATCCTGGCTTCTCTTCAAATTTGGGTTTCCGTTAAAAACAAGAATAGAATTTAAAAATCCTCCTTTTCAAAATATAAACCTTAAATGGGCCCAAACCCCCATCTTATATCAGAGAAACTGATTGTTCCTTAGTTCCTAACAGAGCACTTTGCTCTCAAACTGCAGGTTTTTCTAATCGTTTCCCCTTTGAAAATTTTTAAAAGGGAAATGGGAGGCAGATCTTTTAGTTATCAAAGGGTCCCCTCCTTGGAACCAACTACCAGTTTTTTTTTCCGTGAGGCAACAACCCGTCTCCCTTTTTAAAGGGTAAAGGGTTTAAAAAAAATTCAATTTTTTATAAAAGGGTTATAGGGGTTGGGGTGGCTTTTTTGGGGGGTTTATTTCCTGGGGCTTTTCTTTTATAGTTTGCGCAAAAGGGTTTTGGGCTTTTGGGGGAAAATAGGGACCCCCATTTCAAACAAATTTTGCTTCATTCTCTCCCGTTTTCCTAACTGCAGAAACTGGGTTTGTTTTAATCTCTAAAACCCTTTTGCCTCTCTGCTTTTCCTCAGATTAAACTTTTTTTTTTTCCTCGCTTTTCCTTTTTGGCTGAACGTCTTTTTCCCGGAAAAAAAACATCAGCTGTGCTGCTTCTATCCACCCTTGTTAAAAAGATGTTGGGGGATTTGGCCTGTTTTCCAGTGGGGGTCCCCGTTTTTTCTCTTGACCCGTGACTGATTTGGGTGTGCTCTCTTTTGTCCTCCCGGCATGGGGCTGGGCCCTTGGGGCTCGTCGCCTGGCTTTTGTGTTTCCTGGACGGGGGCCCCCCCTTTTTCAGCTGCTTTTTGTATCTCTGCTTCTGTCTCCTTAACCCCCAGTCGGCCCCGGCAGATGGCCGCTCACAAATGAGCCTGGTTTTGCTTGGGTTTTTTTCCCGTTAAAAGGGAGTTTTTTCCCCTCCACTGTCGCTACAAGCATGCTTAGTGGGGGGGGTTTTTATTTTTATCAAAGAGTCAATCAATCAACGGTTTTTCCCTTTGATAGAAAACTTTTTTATCAATTTGAATGAAAATCTGGTTTTAAATGTAAAATCCTTTTAGATGACATGTGTTGTGAATTTGGCGCTATATAAATAAACTGAATTGAATTGAATTGAATTGAATGATGGATGGATGGATGGATGGATGGATGGATGGATGGATGGATGGATGGATGGATGGATGGATGGATGGATGGGATCGATGGATGGATGGATGGATGATGGAGGGATGGATGATGGATGGATGGATGATGGATGATGGATGGATGGATGATGGATGGATGATTAGATGATAAACAGATGGATGGATGGATGGATGGATGATGGAGGGATGGATGATGGATGGATGATTAGATGATAAACAGATGGATGGATGGATGGATGATGGAGGGATGGATGATGGAGGGATGATTAGATGATAAACAGATGGATGGATGGATGGATGATGGATGGATGGATGGATGGATGGATGGATGGATGGATGGATGGATGATGGATGGATGGATCGATGGATGGATGGATGGATGATGGAGGGATGGATGATGGATGGATGATTAGATGATAAACAGATGGATGGATGGATTGATGGATGATGGAGGGATGGATGATGGAGGGATGATTAGATGATAAACAGATGGATGGATGGATGGATGGATGGATGATGGATGGATGGATGGATCGATCGATGGATGGATCGATGGATGGATGGATGGATGGATGGATGATGGAGGGATGGATGATGGATGGATGATTAGATGATAAACAGATGGATGGATGGATGAAGGAGGGATGGATGAATGGATGGATGGATGGATGGTCCCAGTCCCTACTTAGCGTAAGCTTTCTCCAGCAGAGCGCTCCAGAACTCGCTTCCTTCTGCTGAGTGGACAAACAGCAGCTCTCCATCTTTAACTGGCAGCCGGTCATCAATCACCACGTCCACCCACTCCCCAAACTGCCAGAACTGCACAAGGAGGAGAAGAAGGACAGACGGAGAGAGACAGGCTGAGCCAGTGATCCAATCTACAGTCCCCCCCCCCCCTCATCCCTTATGTAGGACAGGGGGTGTGGTCTGTTGACAGGTAGGACCTCACCTGGAAGTGGAAGATGCCAGCATACTGATGGTTAAAGTTCTGGCCATGAGGAACCACCTGATGAAGCAGCCGTTGGTTTAGAGTCAGAGAGCCGATAGCAGCCAACAGCCAGCAGTCCCCTGGAGGACAGACACAAGGAGAACAGTCACCTGACAGGTCACCTGCTCAGGTGTCCCATGCAAGACCAGGGGGCCTCAATAAGCTGCTGTCTCCGTAGACACCTGTCTTGCCTGTGGAGCTCTACAGCTCAGCACATGTAGGACACCTGTTTCCACCTGCTGTGACCAGCAGAGGGAGCAAGATCTGCATGAAAACCTGAGGCAACCTTAAACCGCAGCAGCTCAGCTTCTCCATCATCTCCTTCTGAAAGCTGCTCTAACCTTGAAAGTTCTAGTCAGCTGAAGCAGAACCCACATGTAGAGTTTCAGCTGCAGGCCTGGTTAAAACTGTCCCAACTGGTTCTGTTAAAAGGATGGAGTCCCACTCTAAATTGGCCTTAGATCAAATGATGATGATGAGTGCGAGATGAGGAAGATAAGCTCATGTTCCTGGAAGTGTTTTTGCTGCAGACAGAGTCCATCATAACAGTGATGATTCATTACGTTCAGCTGAGAGCCGCAGATGGTTCCCTCTAATGGAAGCTCCATCAGCAGACGCCGCCGTCAGATCAATGTGTGCTGCCTTCAGGTGCTCTCTGTTATGCTGCGTTTCTCAGATGTTTACTGCTGTTTACCTCTTCAGGCTGCATCTGGAAGAGGATCTGGATGTATAATACATGTTTAAAATGTGAAAACATCTAATTGTTTGCTCTAAGTGGCTCCTGCACTGATGCATTATTTAGGATTATTGGTAAATATATAAATTATTCATCAGAACAGAGTCCCTGTTTGTTCTATGAATCTCTGATGACAATTTGTCAAGGGTTGTGTTTGAAGTTCCTGGATGATAAACAGAACAGTAAAAGTGCAGAATAAGCCTTTAAAGGGATACATTGGTTAATGGGCTTCCAATGAATGGTGGTAAAAACAAAACACAGAGGTATGTAAAAATATAAAAAATAAGCTACACTGTTATGAACGACAGTAGATTTTTTTTTAGCTTAGTAAGTCATTTTGAGTACTAAAATTGATTATATGCAATAATCTGGAAACATGTGAATGATTAACTTATTGGGTTGGAGCGGTGATAGTTTTAAAGTCTACCAGCTGCTGGAAGGAAGGATCTGTGATAACACTAATCCTTTGCGCATCTAGGGTGCAGCAGTTTGTCACTAATGGAGCTGCATTGCAGTCCACTGGGCTCCTCGTTTATTAAAAGCACACATGTATAACTCGAGGCCCACTGTCCGAATTCGGCCCCTAATGGTAAATCTTCTGGCCCTCAGGAACCAAGAAATTTATTGGTCATCAAACAGATCTATACAGATTAACCCTTTTTTTCCACCAATATTTAAAAAAAAAAAATTCTTGCATCAGTGTCGACCATTACATGCATGTGTTTACCGATATGTAGTGTGTTTATTCACGTTCCCTCCATTTGCTCTACGTTGTTCTTTTGTTGGATTTGTTTATAATTTCTTTGTTTAAATTGATACTTATAACATTTTTATCATTGTGTAATTTTTACCACGTAAATGCAGGACAAAAAATATAAAAAATACAGGCTTCGAGAACTGACCCCAAAAATATCAGCAGCACATCAGTGATTGGTTAGAAATAATCAGAATTAGCATCATCCTTAAAAAAAACCTGTATTGGTTTATCTCTGAAATAGAGGCATATCCTCTTTAAAGTGCAAAAAGATGGATAACACTGCTAAATGCATAGGAGTTAAAAAAAAAACGGTGTTCCCTGTTAAGTTCTTATACCAGAGCAGTGCTCTCCTTGTAAATTAAACTATGAAGTTAATGTTATGTTTCTGCAGTTGAACCGGCCCTTTTAAAGACCTGGTGATTCTAAAATGGGCTGATCTAGAGGATGACTGATGTCAACACACAATCAAATTTCTCATCATTAGGTGTGGAAACAGCCTCACCTGCAGCTTTAAAGCAAACAAAGAGAAGCTTGACCTACCACAGAGCTTCCGTCGCACCTGCTGCTGTTCTTGGAAAGATGTTTTTGTCCTTCCCTGCATGCTTAGTGTGAGGGATTGCATTCGAGTCAATGAGTCGATGCAATCAACTAGTTTTCCTTCGATAGAAAACTTTGAATCAATTTGACTGGATGATCTGGTGAACTCTAAAATGAATTGAGATGACTTGTGTTGTGAATTGGCACTATAGAAATAAACTGAATTGAATTGAAAAAATATTCATTGTCAAATTTCTGCTATTCAAAGAACTTTCTTCACATTTAGAGTAAATGCTAAATATAAATGTCCACCTTTTTATGGGATGTTTTGATCTTTAACCCTAACCACCAAACATCCATCAACAGTCTGAGATTCAAGACACATGAACTCCAGACAGACTCACCCAGCGCCCCCTGAGAGATGTCAGTCCTGGTGGCCCCGCCCACAATGAACTGAGGGTTAGCTGACAGCTCCTGGAACAGCCAATCAGAAACAAGTATATCTGTTTTATAACACCAGCATGACCTCACTTCCTGTCACTGAGAGGAAACATGAGCAGCCAATCACTGACTCTGACTGAGGCTGGTCTTGGTTCTGGTTCTTACCGTGGGTCTTTTCCATTCCACTCCTCTGGTTTTGGCGCTGAGAGGTCCAAGTTCCTTAAAGCCCAGCGAGGCAGGTTCTGCCGGGAACATGGGGTCCTGAAACAGGGTTCTGTTCTGAAGGCACTCCTCCTTTAAGGCCTGGAAGTCCTGGTTCATGAACTTTACCGCCTGCTGGGCCGAGCCCAAGCCTCCGGCTCGGTCCCGCTCATGTTGGATTCGTCCTGACACTCCGCCGAACATCCTGGTCCTAAATCTGTCCCGGAGAGGAACATCAATAATAATTCCAGATTTATGGAACTGTTTAAGTTAAAGTATTAAACTAGTCGAACCTCCAAAGCTGTTCATTCAACTCTTTAGGAAACATCAGATGATTTTTCTGGTGTCTGATTTAAAGCTACCTACTCACACATAAAGGTCCCCGTCTTTCAAACAGGTAAATGTCTCATCATGATATTTCAATTCAATTCAGTTCAGTTTATTTCTATAGCACCAATTCACAACACAAGTCACCTCAAGGCACTTTACAGTTCAACCAGATCATCCAGTCAAAGTTTTCTATCTAAGGAAAACTAGTTGATCAACTCACTGACTCCAATGCAATCCCTCACACTATGCATGCTTGTAGCGACAGTGGAGAGGAAAACTCCCTTTTAACAGGAAGGAACCTCCAGCAGAACCAGGCTCAGTGTCAGCAGCCATCTGCTGAGGATTACTGGGGTTCAAGGAGACAGAAGCAGACATACAAAAAGCATATAGTATGAATGGAGTTATCACTCAATACGATTAGAGTGCCTGGTAAACTGGGTCTACCTTTTTGGTCCAGAGCTGGACTGATTTAAATCCTACTTGAAGGACAGGGACTATTTCTATTTCAGTAGATAACTTTATACTAGAGACCAGAAAAATCACATGTGGTGTTCCCCAAGGATCCATCTTAGAGGCTCTTATTCAGTCTCTACATGCTCATCCTAACTAAGATCTAAATAAACAACAAGAACATGCTACCATAACTATCATGATGACACTCAGCTGTGAAGAATAGTTTTGGAAAACAAATAAAAGCATTTAAAAGTTAGCACCCTGCTTCAGTAAATCCAGCAAGGAACCAGGAATCAGGTTCTAATCTGGGTGCAGTGATGGACTCAGATCTGAACCTTCAGAGGCTCACAAAGTACTAACACAATATTTACACAATATTTTCCAAACACTAATATGAAGATTATTTGAACTGGAAAAGGCCCTCTCTTTTTTGTTTAGCAGTGGGATTATTTTTTCCTGTTTCAACATTTGTGGAAGTGAACAGCATGGGAAACTGTAATTAGGCAACTAATGAGGCAATGTTCTCATCTGCTTTCTGTCCAAGTTCTGTCAACACCTGATGGTTTAATTGTCCAATTTTCTGGATATTTCTTTACCTTATCTGTACATAGACAGAATAGAAAATCCCTTTATTGTTCCACAATGGGGAAATTCTGGTGTTTACAGCAGCAAAAAGATTGTAGAAATAATGGTCACACAAATGTGGACCTTAGAAAAATGTATAAGAATACCATAACAGTGAAGAGATAAAGATAAACAATAAATTACTGGTCTGTAAAGAGTTTTAACAATATAAAACTGTGCACTTGGAGAATAAATAACCATTATACAGCTATGGACATTTTACAGTTATGGATAGTTAAAAATAGCTGCAACATCAAAATAACAACAGCATATTATTCAACTGACTGAGATACAAACTGTGCAAAATCAGCATGAATGTAGCAACTTATTTTGGTTGTTGAGAACAGTGGTGGTTATAAAGTCTTACAGCTGTACTAGTTTCTAACCTAAACCTTTTCCTATACATGATTTTTATATTTTATAAATTATTTTCTCTTGTTTTGTTTTCTTATATCCCTTGACTTGGTAATGATTTTTTTTATATAAGTTCTATATTTCAGTCTCGCACTTTAATGTCTGTATGTGGTAAGTCTGTATATATTTTCTTTTTATTGTCTATGTCTAAAGTATGTCGATGTCTGCATGGGAAACTAAGAAACGTAATTTAAATTCTTTGTATGACCAGTGCATGTAAAGAAACTGACAATAAAGCCGACTTGGTAATGAACATGCCTTAGCATTTTACTTTAAGAAGTTCGTTTTTTTGGTTTGGTTATTAGCTGCTCTTCAGCAGAACAACAAAAGATCTACTCAGGTTTTCCAGAGCTATATTAATTTTGAAATCACAACATTTGTCTTTTTTACACTATGGTTGTCATATCGAGACACGTGTACAGTAATACTCAATGTATCACCAAATTCCTGCCAGTTCAAACCTCTACTGCACAATTACTGTGACCTGAATCTAAACTAAAATACAAGTGAAACAATGAAGGATGAAAAATAGTTGACTTTTTCAAACAGAAACATCGAAAAAAACAGAAATATGAGGCTTTTTATATGGTTAGGGCTTAAAACTAATCTTTGACATATTTATGGTTTATATGCAGTTAGATTTAAGAAATAAAACAACCTAATTTTGCACATAGTTTTAATGCTGTATATGTACTTAGATTTAAGAAATAAAACAACCTAATTTCGCAGTTTTAATGCTTTATATGCAGTTAGATTTAAGAAATAAAGAACCTAATTTTGCACAGTTTTAATCGTTTATATGCAGTTAGATAAAAAAAAAATAAAAATAAACAACCTAATTTTGCACAGTTTTAATCGTTTATATGCAGTTAGATTTAAGAAATAAAGAACCTAATTTTGCAAAGTTTTAATCGTTTATATGCAGTTAGATTTAAGAAATAAAGAACCTAATTTTGCACAGTTTTAATCGTTTATATGCAGTTAGATTTAAGAAATAAAGAACCTAATTTTGCACAGTTTTAATGGTTTATATGCAGATAGATTAAAAAAATAAAGAACCTAATTTTGCACAGTTTTAATGCTTTATATGCAGATTTAGGAAATAAACAACCTAATTTTGCATATAGTTTCATGGTTTATATGCAGTTAGATTTTAGAAATAAAACAACCTAATTTCGCAGTTTTAATGCTTTATATGCAGTTAGATTAAAAAATAAAACAACCTAATTTTGCACAGTTTTAATGGTTTATATGCAGTTAGATTTAAGAAATAAAACAACCTAATTTTGCACATAGTTTTAATGCTTTATATGCAGTTAGATTTAAGAAATAAAGAGCCTAATTTTGCACAGTTTTAATGCTTTATATGCAGTTAGATTTAAGAAATAAAACAACCTAATTTTGCACATAGTTTTAATGCTGTTTATGTACTTAGATTTAAGAAATAAAACAACCTAATTTCGCAGTTTTAATGCTTTATATGCAGTTAGATTTAAGAAATAAAGAACCTAATTTTGCACAGTTTTAATCGTTTATATGCAGTTAGAAAAAAATAAATAAAAATAAACAATCTAATTTTACACAGTTTTAATCGTTTATATGCAGTTAGATTTAAGAAATAAAGAACCTAATTTTGCACAGTTTTAATCGTTTATATGCAGTTAGATTTAAGAAATAAAGAACCTAATTTTGCACAGTTTTAATGGTTTATATGCAGATAGATTAAAAAAATAAAGAACCTAATTTTGCACAGTTTTAATGCTTTATATGCAGATTTAGGAAATAAACAACCTAATTTTGCATATAGTTTTAATGGTTTATATGCAGTTAGATTTAAGAAATAAAGAACCTAATTTTGCACAGTTTTAATGCTTTATATGCAGATTTAGGAAATAAACAACATAATTTTGTATATTGTTTTAATGCTTTATATGCAGTTAGATTTCAGAAATAAAGAACCTAATTTTGCACAGTTTTAATCGTTTATATGCAGTTAGATTTAAGAAATAAAGAACCTAATTTTGCACAGTTTTAATGGTTTATATGCAGATAGATTAAAAAAATAAAGAACCTAATTTTGCACAGTTTTAATGCTTTATATGCAGATTTAGGAAATAAACAACCTAATTTTGCATATAGTTTTAATGGTTTATATGCAGTTAGATTTAAGAAATAAAGAACCTAATTTTGCACAGTTTTAATGCTTTATATGCAGATTTAGGAAATAAACAACATAATTTTGCATATTGTTTTAATGCTTTATATGCAGTTAGATTTCAGAAATAAAGAACCTAATTTTGCACAGTTTTAATCGTTTATATGCAGTTAGATTTAAGAAATAAAGAACCTAATTTTGCACAGTTTTAATGGTTTATATGCAGATAGATTAAAAAAATAAAGAACCTAATTTTGCACAGTTTTAATGCTTTATATGCAGATTTAGGAAATAAACAACCTAATTTTGCATATAGTTTTAATGGTTTATATGCAGTTAGATTTAAGAAATAAAGAACCTAATTTTGCACAGTTTTAATGCTTTATATGCAGATTTAGGAAATAAACAACATAATTTTGCATATTGTTTTAATGCTTTATATGCAGTTAGATTTCAGAAATAAAGAACCTAATTTTGCACAGTTTTAATCGTTTATATGCAGTTAGATTTAAGAAATAAAGAACCTAATTTTGCACAGTTTTAATGGTTTATATGCAGATAGATTAAAAAAATAAAGAACCTAATTTTGCACAGTTTTAATGCTTTATATGCAGATTTAGGAAATAAACAACCTAATTTTGCATATAGTTTTCATGGTTTATATGCAGTTAGATTTAAGAAATAAAACAACCTAATTTCGCAGTTTTAATGCTTTATATGCAGTTAGATTAAAAAATAAAACAACCTAATTTTGCACAGTTTTAATGGTTTATATGCAGTTAGATTTAAGAAATAAAACAACCTAATTTTGCACATAGTTTTAATGCTTTATATGCAGTTAGATTTAAGAAATAAAGAGCCTAATTTTGCACAGTTTTAATGCTTTATATGCAGTTAGATTCAAAAAATAAAACAACCTAATTTTGCACATAGTTCTAATGCTTTAATGCTGTAAAGGAACTGAAACTGAAAAAAAAAAATGATGTATTAATGATTTGCATTGGTTTTATACCACATTGTTAAATCATTGCAAATGATTTACAAAATAATTTCTTAGACTGTAGTTTCTATAATTTCTAACCTTCACTGGATTTTTATTGCACCTTTTCTTTTTTTTGGAGTTATTAAATATGTCCTGTAATAATTGCGGGTTAATTTATTTAGTTCTTCACTTTCCTGACTGACCTTCTCTGATGTTTTTCCAGCAGAGGTTGGAGAAGTTCTCCATCAGCTGGTCCGTTTCAGGACTGTTGGCTTCAAACAGATAAATCTTTTAAACACAGCAGTGATCCTGTCCTGGTCCAGAAGCATCATCAGGAACAGCAGATGCTCGCTGTAGTCTGGAACCTGACAGAACTCACCTGCTGATTTAATCAGCTGATCTCAGATCAGAAGCCTGCAGACTTTGATCCGTCAGCACCATGATGACAGATTTAAAGCTACCCTTCAGAACCTCCGGATCAGATGACCTCTTCCCACCCAGAACCTTCAGGTAACACCTGTCTGGGCGCGCGCCTTGGACACATTGACTGTTAATTATTTCTAAATCAGTTTAAAAAACAATCGAAGCAGCTCATCCGGACCGGTTTCCCACACCGGGTCGGAATCCAGCTTTACTTCCAGCCCACCGTGTTCCTCACCTGTTCTGATGCTCTGCGGTTCGGCCGGGATGCGCTTTGATTCCTGCTGTCTTTGGTTCTGCTGAGAAGGATGCTACACTGCAGCAGCAGCAGCCCTACCCTGAGGAGGGGCGGTGCTCCACCCCACAGGGGGGGTTCTTTGAACAGCGCCCCCTACAGGACGTTTATGGTTAATGCTCGGGTGTCAATATGATGAGCAAAGTGGATTCAAGTAAAGGACATCAGGGGCCAGTGGCCCTTTAGAACTGGCCCCTATATTAAAAACACACTATGCAAAAAAATTAAATAAAAGCAAGTCCGTTTTTCTTAAGAAGTCAGACAATTTTCAGATGGAATAAAATGATTTACATTTATTTTGTGAACTTTATAGCTTATAAATCTTTTTTTTAGGATATGCACTGACAGATGAGGCCATAACTGATTTGTTTCTTGAACCGATTTAATATTTCGTTTTAAATTTACCTGAACAATTATTTACTTAGTACTAAGTTTTCGTCTGTTAGATTAGGAGTCCGCCGCCCTATGCAGTCATTTCTGTTCCATCATTGTTGCATAGAACATGTTTTACAAATGGAAATTTGAAAAAACAGATTTTGTAAAATTAAAATTGAAAAATGGAATCCAGAAATTAAACTTTGTAAAAAATTTTAATTTAAAAAAAGGCATTGGCATTAAAAAAACTTCTAATTTATCAGATTATTTTTAAAGTTTTTTTCAAATCTTTATTTTTGATTAATTTTTATTTTTACAAAGATATTTTTTTTAAAGATCTTATATGTTAACTCTTTTTGTTTTTTTTTACAAATTTTGTTACTCATTTGAAATTTTCACTTTTTTTTTCAAATTTCTATTTTTTTACACGGAGGTCTTACAAATAGATTTCTTTTCAAATTGCAATTTACAGCAACTGGGACGGCTGAACAAGCGAACTGGTAGGAAAACTCCAGATTCTGGACCAAGCCAGACTACTGGCTTATTTTTCAGTATATAAATATTTACTTGTTGTGAATCTGAGCTGAATTCATGAAATTGATAAATGAGTGTTTCAGTAAAACATTCCACCTGTTTCTGGTACAAATCCTATCTACACCAAGTTGGTTCAGTTCACTGAAGTAATGGAAAGTTATGAGGAGCTGATAAAAGAGCAGACAGGAGGACTTTCTGCTGAATCACTGTTGTTCTGGAGGAACCAAATATTGTTTTTTTCCCCGGAAGCAGTGAGACCAAAGTTCTGCTGCCGGGTGTTGACAGATGTCTGGGTCTCATACAGGATGTGTACCACCCTGGAGAGGAAAACATCCAACTGAACTACTTCAAGCTTTCAGTAAAAACAGCTGGAAGCCGTCTGTCTGTTCTGGCTTTACTAACAGGTTCTAATTTACAAACCTGCACAGCATCAGGACACAAACCACATGTGTTGTAGGTACATTTATTGGCTTTATGAGACAGTTGGTGTAGAAGATAAAATACTGATAAAAATGTCAGAAACTGTATCAGAAAGAGAAGCTGAAGCTGTAAACGGTGCGATGGACCGACCCAGAAAGGTTCTGGTTCAGATCATGGCGAAGTTTAACCACTGCAACAGAAACAGAGAGAGATCAAGAATCAGTTTCTGAGCTCAACGTATGCTGATATAAATACAATAAATCTGCTGTTAAACTATTCTTTGCCATCATGACATTATTTCTAATTGGGCTGTGAAGTTATGAAGTTGGAAATAAGTGGAAAAAGACTCGGCTGGTGGTATAATCAAACCCATCCTCTCATAAAAAGCTACTGATCATCTTTCCTGTAAAACTCGGTTTAAAAAATATAAAAGATGAAACAGAATCTATAACTTTTTAACTTGAATGTTGTTAGTTTTAATCCACTCAACTGAACTTTACTTTATATGTATAACTTAAAAATTTGAATCTAGTTTATAAGTTTATCCTGTTTACAAGCTGTTACTAAGCCCTTTATAAACTTTAACTAAACTGTTAATCAGCTCTAACTAAACAGTTAAAATGAAACTATTCTGTGAATAAGCTACATTTAGATTGATAAGCTGTAGATTAACTGTATAAATGCTGCAACTAAACTGGAAATGAGTTGTATCTAAACTGAATAAGCTGCGAATATCTAGTAATTTGCTGTAACTAAGCTACAATAAATATGAGACTAAACTCTTAAAATGAACAGTTAATAAGCTGTAACTAAGCTATTTATAAGCTGTTATTACCTGTTGGAAAATGGTTAGTAAGCTGTGACTAAAGTAAAGCTGTTATGAAACTATTAATAAGCAGATAAACAAGTTTCGTTTTCACCTGATTAAAGTCGAGCTCAATGGAGCCGCTGTCTTCGCTGTCCAGTTTCTTGAAGATCTCTGAAGAGGAACATGAAACACATGATTCAGGGTTGAACAGAGCTGGAGATCTATGAAGCCGAACTTTTAACAACATTGAAAAGAAAATCGTGCAATGTCTGCTTCAGTAAACAGACTGGGTTTTTAGGAATGGTAAATGTTGTTCTGGTGAATGGTTATATGAGACTCACTGAACATCATCTCCAGCCTCATCAGGCACCCCACAAAGTTATCAAAGTCGATGGTCATGTCTGTTTCAGAGTATCTGGCCACCAGCAGCTGGTAAATGGTGTTGTTGAGGGTGAAACCTGCAGGAGGACAAAGACGTAGTTGGACAGAAGAGCTAAAATGCCTACTAACATGAAGACGAGGTAAAACAACTGATTTATCAACTGAAAAAATAAAATTTAAACAGGAAAAAAAAATTTTAAATGGGTTATTCTGATACAAACAAATTTTATTTGTGAGTAGATCCCTTAGCAAAGAAAATTTACGCCTTTGATTACGACATATTCAATGCAATAAATAAACCACGGAAAACGAGGGTAAAGAAATGAAGAATAAAGTTAATCCGAGCTAAACTGGGTTTGGTATTTAGAAATGTGTCTTTATTTCGGCAGATTTGTTTTGTCCTCACATCAGATGGGTAAAATAACTTTACCTACATCCAAGGCTGTGTAAAGATTTACTGAATAAACAGAACTAACCTGAAACAAATATAGACTTAACATTAATTCAGACGTTAAACAGAACTCAGACTCAAACTAATGACAGTGGTTTCAAACAGTAAATGAAGGAAAGTTTGAAAGAAAAACTGACAGAAAAGATCGAAGGAGGTAACGTACCGTCTCCATCAGCTCACTGGGAGCAGCAGCAGAGAAAAACAACAAGTTAGATACAAAAAAGAAAAAATAGAGATGTACAGGAAATGCCTAAACACAAACCTAGCATCATCTGAAACAGACACCAAGCACCAAACACACATATCATCATACAAAACACATTTAGCGTCATCTGGAAGAGATATCACACTGAACATCTCTAAACTTAGAACAATTTGGTCCAGAGATGATCTTGAAATGATTACCCACGCCGTTTAGACTACTGTAACAGTCTTTTCTCATGTCTAAACAAAAAGGAGTTGTCTCGTCTGCAGCAGGTTCAGAACTCCGCGGCGAGGTTACTGACTTGTACGAACAGGAGGGCTCATATTACGCCGATTCTAAAAACGCTTTCCAGTTTCTAATCCTGGTGGTAACATTCAGGTCTATGGAGGATTAAAAGTGCCAAAATTAAATAAATAAATACAGCATTAAATAAATAATTAAATGTGTCAGTATAATTAATTAAATGTGGAATTAAATAAATAAATGTGTCATTCATTAATTAAAACCACGTCACTAATATAAAGTGCCACAATTAAATAAATAAATACAGCGATAAACAATTAATTAAGTGTGTAATTCATTAAATAAATAAGGAATTAAATATATAAATGTGTCATTAATTTAATAAAATACGTCTTCATTTTATAAAAAAATATATATATAATTATTTCAGTGTGCATTTAATTATTTCATGGTCCTGTGTCGCAGTGCATCGAAACCATTAAAAGAATCTGTCAAACTCACCCATCAAAGTTAGGGAGAGGTTATCTAACACCTGAATGGTCACCCTGCACATTAAGGCGAAGCAAATCGATTACAGAGGCCGTTTCTCAATTCACGAGAACGCGTGTACGTACTCGCCTTCTTGTCAAGTCCTTTCTTGGCGAGAACGCAGGAAGATCGGACTTGACGAGAACGCGAGCACGTATGTGTATTGGAGCAGAAGCGTACTCGTGACGTCATCACATGCAACGTTCTTTAGCATTTCTTTAACAGTCAAAACTATTTACTCCCTACACAAAACATTTTGAAAACAATATTTTTGATTTCTAAAGCTTAAAAAACATTTTAAAAAATTACCAAACCGCAAAAAACCGCCATCAGAACGAGCGGTAGTTCACACATAACTAGACCGAGAGAAGTGCACTACAGACGGGGTAAATTTAGCCCTGGCTGCGGTTACCCTCGGAGGTCTGCTGGTCACTCTGGTCCGCTCAACGTCGGACTTTTTTTTTTTTTTTTTCGCACTAACTATGTAAACAGGCCACACAGGGAGGCTTAAATGTATAATGTTATCGCCTCAAACGATTTCAAAACGTACTTTTGAAGAACAACAGCAGCAGAAAAGGGAATGTTTAACTTAACACTGTGAGCGCTGTCTCGAATCAAGCTGCGGCCGCGGGGCATTCTGGGGAAGCGGTCAGTATGAAGAACGCACAAGTCTGCTCTGATGCATGCTCGATAAAGAGGGCGGGGCGAGAACAACATCCGGGGATTTGGTGCGTTCTCGATCTGGCGTTCTCGAGAATTGAAACGGTACTGGGCTGAGGCTGATGACGTGTCACGAGTACACGAGCAAACGAGAACGCTCAAGAACGCATATTGAGAAACGCCTAGAGACTCGATTCGCGTTAACCCCGCCCCCTAACTTTGATGGGTGAGTTTGACAGATTCTTTTAATGGTTTCGATGCACTGCGACACAGGACCATGAAATAATTAAATGCACACTGAAATAATTATATATATATTTTTTTATAAAATGAAGACGTATTTTATTAAATTAATGACACATTTATATATTTAATTCCTTATTTATTTAATGAATTACACATTTAATTAATTGTTTATCGCTGTATTTATTTATTTAATTGTGGCACTTTATATTAGTGATGTGGTTTTAATTAATGAATGTCACATTTATTTATTTATTTAATGCTGTATTTATTTATTTAATTTAGCACTTTTTATCCTCCATACAGGTCCTTTCATTGTCATGCTCCATCCTACATTAAAGTATGTTGTGTCCATATACCCGCTCTCGGAGGCTGAGATCTCAGGACCAGAACCTGCTCATGGTCCCTCGTTACTCAATACAGGACCAGGGGAGATCGCTCCTTTCTGGTGGTCTCGGCGACGCTCTGGAACGATTTTCCGCTTTCCTTGTGTTTACTTGATTCTGTTGATGTCTTTAACAGTGAACTGAAAACCTATTTGTTTAAGAAAGCATTTTAATTTGGTTGTTTTATGACCATGTCTTTTGTGGCTGTAAATGTATTTTATTTGTATTTAAATTATGTGAAGCACTTTGTGACCTCTATGTCTGCGAAAGGTGCGAATAACATTACTTACTTACTACTTACATATAGCACGCACCCAGTATTACAGTAAACATAAATTCAACATAACCCTTAAGAGAACATTTTAAAGAAGCTAATTAAGACATTTTGTTCCCAACAACCTCAATTAATTGTTACATTCATGCTGATTTTGCACAGTTTCTACTTTAGTCAGTTAAATAATGTGCTGATGTCATTTTGGACATCTCTGATGTTGCTGCTATTTTTAGATATCCATTACTGTCAAAACGTCCATAGCTGGATATTGGTTATTTATTCTCCCAGTGGACAGTATTTATAAGTGTTGCACCGATACAGAGTACCAACAAATAAGGCACCGTTACCATTTTGAGAGCCAAAAGTTATATTGTCACCCATTCCAGGTAGGCAATAAAAAGTTCTACTGGATTAACTTTGTATTAGTCTGCTTCCTGCTTCACAAAGGTAGGCAGCAGCTTGACAAAGCCATGATGGAAATTATTTTACATATCGGTATCAGCCAATACTGCACAGCCAGGTATCGGGTATCGGAGCCAAAAAATGGCATCCGCGCAACACTATTTATATTGTTAAAACACTTTACAGTATTTCATTTGTTTATTTTTTTAACATTTCACTGTTATGTTATTCTTATACATTTTTCTAAGGTCCACATTTGTGTGAATTTTTTTTTTTTTTTTCTATAATCTTTTTGCTGCTGTAAACACCAGAATTTCCCCATTGTGGAACAATAAAGGGATTTTCTATTCTATTGCATTTTTGGGCTGTGGGAGGAAACCAGAATACCTGGAGAGCACACACGCAAACCCCATGCCGAAAGACCCCAGGCCGGGAATCGAACCCAAAACCTTTTTGCTGTAATGCAAAAGTGCTACAAAGTGGGCCGCATTGCAGCCCTATCTTGCATCATTCAGAACACAAAGCAGCAGTACACTGTAGATACACCTAGCCTCATGCTGAACAAAACTAGAATTAAGCAAAACACACCTAACATTCGGCTAAACACACCAAGCATTATGCTGAACACAGCCTTTACTATGCTGAACGCACATCTAGCATTAAACTAAACACACGCCTAGCCTCACTCTGATCATTATGATGAACACACACCTAGCATCAAGCTTCATATACGTTTGCATCACGCTGAAGCATGGATGTAATTTTGGGGTGGGGTCCAGTTTGGTCCCCTGCATATTTTACAGTCCAAAAACAATGTTATGCTACAGTACACAGACAATCGTCGAGCACTTGGACCATGCGGACAACCGCAGGTCAAGCTTAAGCCCGCTTCCCTGAGTTTAGAAGCTCCTGATTGGCCCACCGTCTTTTCCCCTCTGTCACTTCTGAGAAGCTCATGTTACAAACATCTTATGCGGCACTGAATCAGGTGTAAAGTTAGTTATATAAAAAAAAATATTTGCCTTCCCTCCTCTACTGAAATCAAAATTTCTTCAATGCGCAGAACACACAACTAGCATTATGCTGAGCACACCTAGCATCAAGCTGAATACACAACAAAAAGATTATACTGAACAAACGGCTATTCTCATACTGAACACCAACCTAGCAGTATGCTGAACCCACACCCAGCATTATGGTGTAAAACTGCGAGCAGCATTATTTACAAACACATCTAGCATCACACTGAACACACAACTAACATTAGGCAGTGTCGCTACCCGATCCGTACTGGTAGCACGATCCGTAGCATCAGCTCATTTGCGCCTGCGCGAACAGAATAACTTCCGGGTCGCCCAAAAAATTATGTAATTACGGTACTGAAAAAACTTTATTTATATCCTTAAATAATTAAAGAATACTAAACTACATCGTAAAGACAATATTGAAGACTTTTCTGGAAGAAATGGATGCTTTTTTTTCTGGAACAAAAATCCAAATTTTCGGGAAATGTTCCCTTATCAATGAAAAACTGCAGGTCACGAAAGGTAGCAAATGAATCCATTGTGGGATCAGTACTGCTGGAGTGCATAGTTAAGTACAGAGTAAATCAAATATTTAAACAAATTTAAATATATATGCTGTGTGACGTATATTTGCGCATGCTCAGAGCAGTCAAAGTACAG